CGCTTGCCTTACACATAAGTTATTCTTTCTCATCCTAGTAAAATGTCAAGGTTAGACTACAGTGGCCGCCCTGAGTGATCTCAAAACTTAGGAGCAATAAAAGTTGAAATGATTATAAGTCATGGTGTTCTGAGATCCGTTTATATTTCTAATTCTATGCACTTATCTACTCCGAGATCCGAACCCTCCCGAGTGAACACTTATCCTGTCAAGATTCCCCAGCATATGCAAATATTAGGAACTCCAATTAATCAATTATTTATTACACTCGATTTCCCTGGACATCCTTAGAGATCAATTCAGACTAGAAGGCATCTCAAAAAAATAGTTGGGAGAAATGTTAGGTCAACTTAACGCAGAAATGCAACACAATTCTCCCCTATTACCCCAAAAATCGCTCTTAAATGTTTTTTTTGGGCATCATTTGAATGGGTTAAACCACATATGTTTGATCGGTATTACAATTTATTCGTCGAGGTACTTGTTGCAGCTTAATTTCGAAGCTAAAATAACGAGTTTGTTACAAACAACTGCAAAGTAGTTATCTTTCACAGTATTTTGCTTACGTAACAGACAAAATGTGACAGTAAAAGTATAAGATATCGTATTAGTGGGTCCGAGGACAACACACAGGAATTCACGTGTTTTTAAGAAAACCAGATTAGTGACGACGTTTTAAAAAACTCCAGACACAAACCCCGGAGAAAACTTACTCAAACGCCGACCTTGAGGTAAAGTTAACATTTGATAAATGTGCCTTCAGGTCAAACGTGTTGTTGACAATTAATAACCAATATCCAATTGACTAGCTTGTGCAAACGATTCTGTAGCGGTAGGTAATTCCCCAAAGTGATTAGCCACAGCATTAATCACTGAACACCGTATGCTGACTCTCGCTTTTTAATTCGACTTATTTGGCTGAAAGCTCACAGTCAAGCATCCACGCCATTTGGCACGCCGTCATGTTTCGTTCGTTCGTTCGTTCGTGAGCGATCCCTAGCTAGTTGAGCAGTCAACCACGCACTACGATTTGATCCTGAGATATACCTCGTACTTTGGAAGATCAATTTTGGTATTTTGCTTTGCCTTTGGTCCACGTGGAACGAATACTATTAAAGTTGTGAGTATGAAATCTTGAGTTAGTATACATCGTACTTCTCATGAAAGTCAACACCATCAACCTTGATTTTCCCCCTTTGGCTACCGAAAAAACCGAAATACGTATCAGTTCACCTCGACTGCTCCAACGATACTGGACGTAGTGAGAAAGGTGAGTTAATTTATATTGAGGGGGATGTATGGTTCGTATAGTGGTAGTGGCACTGTTGGAAGGGAAATGGGGTTTCATCGAACAGCCCTTAGGTAAGTGAACGCCTCAGAAGAAGCTGTGGTAAGTAAGTGGAAGTGGTTTCGAGAGAATAGGTAAGCAAAACTAATAAGTTGTAGGGCGATACGGGGGAGAATACAGAAATAAGCCTGCAATACACTCAAGATTTTAGCTAATTCAATTCTGTACCTGGGAGAATGAAGATATACTTCTACTGGATTTTCATCAGAACGTAACCACACGTTTTAATTAACCATCAAGATTCACTTATGCCTCACAAGAAAATGTGTTGAGTAATCTATGCGACAACACAAAATCACTCCATGATATTATTGCACATGTGAAAATAAGTGACTGTAAATTCCTGTAGGATGATTGTATCTCCAAAGTGAGGTCTTCTAAAACACGTGGTAATATTCTATTATAGTGTGTATGTGGATACATTAAATGATAATATTCGTAATAATTATTGTTCAGTTAACTTCAACTAAGCATCACCAACTATTTTGGTTTTACTCACTGTAACTCGGCGGCTTTCGCTAGTTTTTGGATGAGATTATTCTTCGTTCCTCTTTCTTTTTTGACAGGTTAAATTTTGAACTTTGGATCGGTGACAATGATACTCTCGTTTTCCTTTCCTACTGATTAAATTTCTGGAACTCGAGAAACATCAAATTATACGCTCACTGTAAAATAGTAAAAATAATAATGAATCCACATCATGGCTGTTAAATGAGATTGAATAAGGACACGAACTATTTCAGCGCCTAGTACGGAAGACACAAGTACCCTCTCCAGCATCTTGCTTTCCACTATTGCTAATCATCTTTGGGTCGAACCTGATTTACACATTCACATTCGGATCTTTTGCTTCAATCTTCTTCTCCCTCCGCAATTACCTCCAGGCTGTTGGTATACTCTTAAATGGGGTGAGTAACTGCAGACCAGAAAAGGACTACGTCATCAATACAAATCTGTACATCTATACTTGTGTATTTTGGGACAATTATAACTCACTAAGTAACTGCGTTTTATATGTATATTATTTAGTGTGGATTGAATTCCTCTCCACAAACATGCATGTTTTGTTTTGTCCTTTTTATTCGCGTATAAACGAGCTGAGCCGTTTAGTCTACATTGAATAGAAATTTTTGAGAACCCTCTTAGAACCGCTGAGTTCTCAGTACCTCTTGTTCAGGCTAGTTTTAAATGTTTATCCAAGACGCTGCAGGCTTACATCACAATGCCATGATTGCAAAAATCCCAAAATTGACAGAATTCGCACACGTTCAAACTTTTTAGTAGTTTTGGCATCAGTTTTCTATCTTACGAGTCATTTGTCTTGTCAAATTATGTAGCTCTCACTGGTGCTTTTAATTTTGTCCTCCTGAAGTAACATGTATCCATGCGAAATTCGAGGCAAGACTCCATACTGATAAGCAGCTCAGTTTGGTTGGTAATCATAGTAAATAGATATAATATATTGTGATTCATTTTGTACCTAAGAGAAGTTTACCGCACTCTTTTAATTAAAGAGTACATTGATGGAACTTTTCCTTTTTGGCTGAAAACTGTGTGACCTTTCTCGTCATAGTTTGATGTGGCATGGGTGCCATTAAAATTAGCAGCAATTTATGAAGCTGTATACGTGTTTTTGGCTGTTTCCGTTACGAAAGAAAACTACTGTTATCATGCCTTATGTACTTACTCCCAACAATGACATTGAAGATCAAATGAGATAAACACATCACTGATTTCAAAATAACACATCAATGAACTATAATTCGAGGACTCTGCACACAACAAAGTTATGTATCAATATTTACTTCAAGCTTTATTTTTTTCCCAGGCACTTATAATCCATCCACCAAAGACCTGGTTTTCTGGTTAATGCGAAGACAATACTCCTGTATTTCCTGTTGTTTTACACTCACTGACAATCTAGCAGATTTTTCCAACTTTGCACAGAAATGATTGTATATAAGTGAAAAGGCTGTTTTATACTACTGGGATTAACATTTATCAAGTGTATGCATAATCTCCAGCGAACATGTAAAGCATATCTTGCTACTGCCTGTAAATTGTGATTGAATTATATGGTTCTATTTCTGTAACAATTTGATGATGCCTGTAAACTGGCGTCCCTCATGTACTGTACTATGAGAATAAATTTATTTATTTATTCTCTGACACTCATTAATCATTGGCGTGAGCAGCGGCAGCAATGCAGTGACTACTCCAGATAATCATAAAGTTTTCGACAAAAGTATTTAGGGGTGCTTGCAAATCATTGATCAACCTGCTACAAATAAATTCACTTATGGTCTTTGAAAAGTCATTATCCTCGTACCAAAAAGCCCCCAAAATAGGAATTCATAAGATAGTTTCCAAGCTGTGTGTGTATCTTTGCTGTGCTTTGATGCAGTGTGTTTTTCAAATTATCGACAGGCCACGAGGAACTTGACGCTTGTCACTGTGTCTTCTGTTGCTAACAAGCTGATTAACTGCTGTGGGAACTGGTGAGAGAAAATCCCACATATGGAGCAAGATTGGTTAAAAACTACTTGCAATTCGTCTCCAACACAACAGGAGAATGAAACAAATGGGTAGTATGTCTTGGTAGCAAGTGTCATTTTCAAGCACTGTCCCTGGATTTCGATATTGTATCATATGATATCCTTCTTTAAGAAGCCTGTCAGATAGAAGTTAAGAATCCTCAGTCATCCTGAAATAAGGCCCATTCGGAAGGAAGAGGGTTCTTCTTGGAAGCAAACTTTTGGTACCATACACTCAAAATGTCAGTCCGAAACGTCTCAAGGGGTGTCAGAATGTTGTTGTAGTCTTCATTCTTATTACTGATTTGCAAAAAGATTTAAATTTTTGGTTTGGTTCTCTGCCTTCACAGTATCAAGTTATACAGAGACAAAAGAAGACTATCTCTTTTCTGCCAGCACCCTGAGTCAGGAATTGTCAGACCCTGCATTTTTTTGTGACTCTGAGTTACTGGAACCCCTGCGCACTTACTGCTGTGGACGCGTCTTTCCGGCAATCTAAAGGGAAAACTCCAGATGGCTAATGACAAAAACCAGAAAAATGCGGAATCTTTCGAAGACACTATCAATTCCTTGTGGCACTTTTGTTCAACCTCAGCCGTTTAGAAGAACGAATGGTGGATATGTTCCTAAATGTTTCCTAATTCAATGCTAGGAATCTTGAGGTTTTTAATGCTGTTTTGGCATAATAGAGACGCTTTTAACGTCATCAGGCTATAAGAATAAATCATACAAAGGCTTTTTGCTACAACTAAAAGACCGTAAATAGCATTTTAATTTCGTACATTAGGATGTCCTATAACTTATCACTCCTTGTAAAACATTGTCAGCCAGTTCAGCTTGCACTTTCAAAAGACTAAATGCTTTCATTGGTTAATAGGCGAACAAAACCAGTATATTTGCTTTCATTCTTTATTTTTTCAGTCATTTCGCACTCAAACTCATCGTTTTCTTGAAATGAACAATGAAATTTATTATACAGCACTAGATTTGCCGATACCAGCGGCTGTACTGAAATATCACACACTTGTCTTCAGACCAAATCAATATCAAGCCAATTATCATTGAATGTCATAAGTACTGCAAACAGGTGATCCGAATACATTTAATGTCTTACTGTCATAAAGCAGGGTCACGTTGTACATTAGAAGCTTGTTTTAGTTCTTCAGGTCATGGTTATATTATGCGCAAATATTTGAAATGTCTGAAAATGCTGCTTTTCTAACAAACAGAGATGGGATTCCTATCAGTGCTGAAACTTGGAAATCAATGTTTGAGTTTTGTCTCAGAACAAACAAAGTGTGTGAGAAGGAAATAACCGACTTGTTGGAATCTTTTCAGAGTCGTGAATTTCAAAAAGTCCCTGTAAATGATTATTAACTTCTCTCTATTTCTCAAGCAACCCTTGTTCAGAATAAATAAGACTGAAACACCTGAAGACTATATGGAAAAGGTTCAGTGCTATCTAAATAAACTTGGGTGAGTGGACAGAAAATATTTTCAAACGATCATTTCAAGCGCATAATCAATTAATTGCTTACACCATCTTGCCCTTTACAGTTATTACTGAAATCGATCTCATCGCAGTTATAAGCGTCAGCACTACAGCCTTTAGATTCTAATTCCTTTACAGTTGCGTATTTCATTGATATAAAATAAGACTGATGAAGTTAGGGAATATTATATTTTATACAAATAAATACAGGTTCCATAAAAATAATATCAAGTGAAGACGTTTACAAAATTGGCTTCGTAAGTTATTTTAGGGACAGCAGCAATCGGACAAATAAGGGGGTAGAGCGTTATCTAATAAATTCTCAGTTATCACTCCTTTTTCCCACTGCATTAGCCTGCTGACTGTTGCCTTCTAACTGTCGCGCATGTTGTCGTAGAACCATCATCATTAAAATAAAGGTTCGTAATGGAAAGTTATATTTCAGTTGTTTAATATAAATGGAAAGTAATTTAACAGCCCTTCTCCAAATTAATTGTTTAGGATTATTACCACTTTCCCTGTGTTTCCCATATTTTTCCAAATTACACATGTTTCCAGAAACAAGTTTCCCTTTTTTTCCAGTTTGCCCATGTCATTTTCGAAAATGGCCCACTTTTTCCTACTTTTCCAACTTTTGTACGGAAAAATGCTTATGTTTCTATCCACACATCGCAGGTCTGAAAAAATCTCCTACTGGTTTGTGTCCAAGCGTAAGCTTGTAGTTTCAAATGTCTAAAACGTTCTTCGCCACATATAAAGCTTTTTCCAGTTACATAAATGGCTGCAACTATTTGGTCACTCCACAATTGCTAAACTTTTTATTTGCGACTAGGCTGTTCTACATTTTAAGCATTAAAAATATGCATACTGGCCTCAAATAGATTTTATTTATTTTGATTGGACACTAGTAACTAGTGTGATGTGTCTAGTCCTTTGTTTGGTGCAGACTGAACTTTTTCAGTCAGATTTGTAATGTGGCAACCATTCTAGGTAGCTCGCCATCACGGTGCACATTGATTTGGTGATATTAGATGGTTGTAGGCGATCGGCAGGAAGCCTTGGACCTAGGTTTCATATAAGTTGGCACTCGTCAGCTAGGCACATCTGCAAACTTGAAGGAACTCATGTCCCTTCTGAGATTCGAACCCGTGTCACCCAGTTCTGCAGTCAGAGACCTTACTACTGAGCTATTTGCATTCGCGATTGACATCCTGCAGGTCCAAAGCTTCCTACCGATTGCCTTCAACCATCTAATGTCATCAAATCAATCTGCACCGTTATGGCGAGCTAACTAGAGGGGTGGTGACATTACAAATCTGACTGACAGAGTTCCATCTGCACCAAACAAAGGATTAGACACATTACACTAGTTATTAACTAGTGTTCAATCAAAAGATCCTCGTCATATGATGTGATATTTCCACTTTGAGGGAACACTTACTCTTCTGAACTTCCTCTGAATTCTGTCTCATTAATTAAAAATTAGTTAGCCTAGAATCTTACCTATCTCTAATGGGGCATGATATTGATGCTAAATATTTAGATATGGAATTACATTCTATCACAGTACCCAAGTCTTACATTTACACAAAGAATAGCCATGCACTGAAATAAGTGAATAAATATATGGTTTCTCTTAGACTGTAATTAAAAGTTGCAGATGAATTCAAAACCAGGATGTTCAGTAGCAGTTTCTTTCCAGTGAATTTCTTACTAATTACTAACTGTGACTTTACTGCTTGGAAATCAATTAGATCTTTGCAAGCCTGCATAAAGAGCTGTTAAGAACTTAAACAGATGACAGAATCTGTGTTCCTTGCTAACTTTCAATTAGTAGCTTTACTTGTCATGTAAAGTGAGCTCGGATATTGAAATGTGACATTGAAAAAGAATCATCGTCTCAGGTAGATCACGAGGTATGAAGACATTTCTTTTCAAATATGTGTTAAAATGTCAATAAAAGTGGAAGACAATGTTGCTATGGAAGGCTTACTTTATACATTAGTGTTTCAATCATTATTATGTGCATAATTTGTACTTGTTAAGGGGATCTCTTGCTTCATCTCAAGGAGTTTGTTGAAATGTTTTATTTTTGACACTAGTAACAAAAGAAAAAAGTCTCTTTCGGGGATTCTTTTCTTTTTACCAGTTTCAGTGTAGCCTGACGACTGAATGCCATGTTGTCATATTAATTACTTGCACTTAACTAATGTGTATTGTCAAGCTGTCTAGTTCTCAACATTTACCTAGTTAAGTTTAATTAAAAGTTTTCACTTTTAAATTCCAAGAGAACAAAACAGAGATTGTTAAAAAATGGAAGTTTGCCTAAAACTGCACCCATACTTTTCAAGCATTCTGATCACAGAATAACTTACCAAGTCAAGTTATACAGAAAATAAGAAATTAAAGGCAATTCAAAACAGATAAACTAATGGAGAGTCTAAGAGTAACAAGGGTGATTGGACAGAAATAGAAATTTAACTGCAACACTATCTTCGGTAGTATCATCAAATAAGAATATGAAGTTATGTTCAAATTTTTTCAAATAGCTGCAAACTAACACTTGAAAATAAGTCTAATGCTCATTATTGGCTGATTACAGATTGAAGTTGCCTGAATTTCTAGGGGGAAGTTGTGATCAGTTGGGTCCTCCAAGTCGAGTGTGAGGACAGATACTCAACGATGATGAATGGTAAATGAAACCACTTCGTAACATGAAGGTTGTGGATTCGATACCCAGTAGGCCCATGTGTGCGTACTGCTGAAAAATCCCGGGCTAGGACGAAACAACTGTCCAGTACTCTTCTGTTTCCAATTATTTTCTAACTTATATCAGCTTGTGACCAAACTTAAAAAAAGACAAAAAGGTTTTACTTTTTACTATTACCAACAATAGTGTCATACCTGACTCACTACTCTTTCATTTTAATTCACCATAGTTTTAAACCAGCTAGTAGTTTGAAGTCAACTGGTGGATGGTGACTAGCAGTGGAATCCAGGACATTGCGTATTTTGCCCTATTTGGGACTCGTCGTCTGCGTGTACCTGCATTCCCCAGTGAGTGATGGTGCTCCCCCCGATGCTCGAACCCAGTTCCCATAGTTTCAAAAGCCAAAATGTCATTTACTAGACCACTTGGGCCAGGAGAGCCACCTCCTGTGCAACGGGTCTTATTAATTATCAGTGGGTACACCATCACTCACTGGGAAATGCGGGTACACGCAGTAGACGAGTCCCAAATGGGACGAAATACAAATCCTAGATTCCACTGCTAGTCACTATCAACCATCTGACTTTGTCGAAGCATCTGCACAAGGAGCCGACATGTCATCCTGAGACCGAGCACTTCAGTCCAATCAATTGACAGCTAATAGTTTATTTGCTTTAATTTATCTTTCAATTCATCTGTTTTTAGATATAAACTGGAATGACAAGTAAATGTATTCCATCATGGATAACATTTTATCTTGATAAAATCACAGTAATATTTACTGATGACGTTTTGAGCACAAATTGTTGCTCATCATCACACCAATGAGTTATACTCTACCACAGTGCCCATGTTTTATCCTTTTTTCAAGTTCTGGTTTTGTAGAGAGTTTTGTTTGATTGTTTGGAAGATTTTATCATGAGCTGACATCCGTTGGAAAACCTGGGAGTATTGGACAGTGATTTCTGTTTTCCTAGTTTGGGACTCTTCAGCAGTACGCACCCACTACGGGGGGTTCGAACCCAGGACCTTCTGGTCACAAGGCTAGCTAGCTCATTGACCATCAAGCCACTGGGACCCTATCCAGTGGCTACCCCATGAATTCCAACTTCTGCCATTTCATGGCATAGCGCGACCACTTAGCAATGTCTTCTTCGGTGAGTTACTGCCTCACCTTCGAATTACTGTACCCTACCCTACTACTAACCACTAGAACCCCAAGTTAACTTTCTGAATAGGACCAGTCGCTAGTGAGCATCAGATTAATTTTCAACTATCGGTTTTATCCTTATATCAATAAGTAAATGTATTATGAGACTGTTCGAAATGTATTGATATTTTGAATGATTATTGGAGAATGCACTAACTTTAACATCAGTCTTCTGACTTTTATAGACACCCTTTGCCACTTCATAAAGTTAATTTGATTCAACTCGTAAATTCATACTTACTGTTATACTTTTATATGCATAAAATGTGTTTCTAAATTATCTTTGCAACATTTTCATTTATTTAAAAATATTTAGATATAATTATACTGGTATGCAATTTTTTCCAATCAATCGAAACGCACCAATTGAAAGGTAGACAAATTGAATTGTATTCAATTTGTAAATATTTTGTTTATCTTACATCTTGCATAGACTTAGAGAAGTTGTAAAAGTGATGATAAAAGCTGCACTACCAATTAAATGTTTAGAAGCTACTATATTATCTATGTAAGTCAGTCAGTCGACATTATAATCCAAATTTTTAAGATTTCTTACACAAGGACAAGAATATTTCAAACGATTTACTATATCCTTTGTATCAGAATTCAATGGGAATATATTCAGACATGTTGTGTTAGGAATATGCTCAGTTAACAGTGTATTCGGTGCACTGGGTTTAAGTAGACGTAAAGATTTGATGTACAAACCGTTAAAATATCCAGTAATCAATCAATCAATCAATCACATTCATATACTTCTACCCATTTTAGAGTTTATCTTCATTGATTAATGATTTTGTGAACGCTTATCGTGGTCATCATCATAAATTGATCAAGGTGAAAATCGGTATACCTATACCGCATAGGCCATATCTACTAGAAAGAATTCATTGGAAGGTAAGATATGCTGTATTAAAGAAAACGTAATGAAGTCTTCATTATTTATTTATTTATTTGTTATAGGGTATAAGTATTTCATTCAGGAAAGGATATTGTACAAATGAGATCAATACTATGCTGGATCGATATTCACGTTTTGTAAGTGATTAGTATATTAAAATAATTGTTGATGATATTAAGTTAATAAGAAACCATATAGACTGAAAAGTTTGGTAGTAAAGTTTCTAACTATTTGACACTGAAAGAAGTAGATTGAAATCTTAGAGAGAACTATAGTTTTCTCAATGTTTTAAATGCATGTCTTCTCACTGATTAATTACAAATTAAAGTATGCAGTAGTTTTGTATTCATGGGCCATAAGAACGGGTCCCAGTAGTTGAATGGTCTACTAACTTGACTGTGGAGTGGAACCTACTGGGTTCGGACTGCGGTTTGTGCCTACTGGTGAAGAGTCAAACACTAAGACAAAACAACCGTCTAGTACTCCCTTGAAACACGTTTTCGTGTAAGTATGACCAAACAACTAAACAGAACATCTGATAGATAAGTTTTGATTTATGCCACAAATTGTGAAGGTATACTTGTGAACAAGAAATGAATAATAGACGTGAATAGACGTGATGTCTTGTCATAGTGCTCATATACCACTTAATGGTTTGTTTGTTACTATAAATATTCTTGTGTTTAGTTCCAGTGTATTAAACTGAGAAACATTGGGCAAAATCTTTGATAACTTGCTTAGATTAATTTACATAGATTAATCGGCCTTGACCCCCCCTCCGCCAAAAAACATAAGACAATGGCTACAAGAAAATGCGTAAACTATGGTTGCTTAGGTGAATTTATTTATTAAATATGCGCGCGCATTTATTTTGTTCTCTACAAGCTAAACCTTTTAGTGCTTTGCATTTCCTCTAGGTTAGTTTTAATTGTTTCATCATCTAGTTAGACTAATACCTCATTTAAAAAACACGAAACCCTTTATTTATAGTTAGATGGCACTGATCAGCAAGGCGTATCTGCAGCCTCGAAGGAGATTACGTCCCTACTGAGATTCAAACCTGCATCACCCAGTCCTGCAGTCAGAGACATTACCACTGAGCTATTCTGGCTCGCGATTGACCTCCTGTAGGACTGTATTGGATACTTTCGATTGGACACTAGTTAGTAACTAGTGTAATAGGTCTAATCCTTTGTTTGGTGTAAACTGAATTCTATCAGCGAAGTCAATCAAAGTATCCTATACAGTCCTACAGGAGGTCAATCGCGAATGCAAATAGCTCAGTGGTAACATCTCTGAATGCAGCACTGGGTGACGCGGGTTCGAATCTTAGAAGGGACGTGAATTCCTTCAGTGTTTGCAGATACGCCCTGATGATGAGTGCCAACTAGTATGAAACCCAGGTCCAAGGCTTCCTGCCAATATCCTCCAACCACCTAATATCAACAATTCAAAGTGCACTTTGATGGTGAGCCACCTAGAATGGCGGCTATATTGCAAACTTGACTGACAGAATTCAGTCTGCACCAAAGAAAGGACTAGACACATTACACTAGTCACTTACTAGTGTCCAATATATATATGATATTGCAACTTATATGGAATTGTATAGTAACCCAATGAAAGGCATTTTTTCCTCTTGAAAATACTTAGTTGCGAGGTTCTACTGACGTGATAATTAAAAGGAATCTACCAGCACTTTTACCAAAAATATCTCCTGGTTCTTGTGCAACAGCAACAAAAGGACAACAACCAACTACATATAATAAAGTTATACGTTTAAATATGGTTCGAAATAAAACTGATTATGTGACGCCATCATTGACAAATCCAGCAAACAAATGGATCTGTATTTCAAATTCACCGTTAACTACTTCAATATCTGAAAGGTAATTCATGCTTTTATATCGTGTTTTTTGCCTACATACACACTCATATACTGTTAAAAATAAATAAGTGTTTCTCCTTTGTTATAAACTCAGTGTTAACTGGTGCTTTCACTTCCTATATTTAGATGTCTGACTTTTGTACCAAACACTTTACAGTAATTATTATTGACATTTTAAATCATTTCTGTTGACTAAAGAGTTGGCACTTCCTATTGGCTGAAACATCTTAAATTCTCCTGTCTAATAGTTTTATCTTAATGAATTATGTGAGGATATGGGTGGTTCGACGGTAGAATTCTCTCCAGTCACGCGGGCAGTCTGCTTTCGATTCCTAGCCAACGCATCCTTAGACCTCGCCTAGTTTATTATCCGATAGTAGGGTCGGAAAAAACTAGGAGGTTTGGGAGTAAAGCTAGCAACCTCATCGCTTAAAAACAATGCCACCAGAATAGCTTCGTATTCCACTCGGAACAACGCGTTTCTGTGTGTTGCATACCTAATAAATGAACAGTTATAAAAATCTCCAGACTACTTAATTATTATTCAAGTGTTGACTTGTGGGGATTTGATTGGTCTCAGAATTTCATCATGAACGGACATAGGTTAGAGAACCATTAAAAAGCCTGGGAGTACTGGTTAGCTGTTTGGTCCTAGTTTGGGACTCTTCGTCGTCACGCACCTGCCTGGGTTCGGACGCAGGACTGCTTGGTTACAAGGTGAGATTTTAGACCATTAATCCACTAAGACCTAATCCAGTGGTCGGCCCATGAATTCCAACTTCCGCCAATTTGAAATATAGCGTGACCACTAGTGAATGTCATCGGCGAGTATTTATCCTCACACTGGTCGTGAATTGGCGGAAGGTGGAATTCCTGGGCCACTGCGTCGGTTCCCAGTGGCTTAATGATCTACAAGCTCACATGGTTTTGAACCCGGATAGGTGCGCACCGACGAAGAATCCCAAACTAGGACGAAACAGCTGGTTGTCCAGTACTCCCAGGTTTTCCAATGGTTCTCTAACAGACGCCACCTCGTGATGAAATACTTCATTATTAGTCATTTTGTGTAATCTAAATTAAGCGCAAATATCGTTTACCTGAAGAAAAGTAAATAAGTTGATCAGTGTGATATAATTAGCATAATGGTACAATACCATTCAAATATAATTTATTTAGTTAACTGAAGACCAGACAACTGATTTCCTGAATATCGTGTTTCATGTCTGTTTATCGATCTTTTCAGATTAACCTGGTTCCACTTAATATTCCAGGAGAAGGCCTGAATACACATTCATTGTTCATTAGTTTTCTCTATGGTTTATTGTTCTCGCCGAAATAAGAAAGAATGATATCCGTGGCATTATATGTTTATATTCAGTATTCTACATACTACTGATTAGTCGGTATGAGTAGTTGGATACTAATCATAACAGCCATTAGTGTTTGCTAGCTAGAATGAAATGATTTAAACACCAGACGTCTGTTTCACTAGTTTTGGGACCGAGCTCATCAGCAGTGTACCTTGTTCGGTTTAGCTCAGATAGCCAAATCAGTTCAAACCAATTGAATTCTGGTTAGCTACTTGGGTGAAGGTGTAGTAGATTGGGTCAAATTCGCATTGTAAGCATCTCGGGGTGAATCTTTTCTTCCTGACACTAAGACAGACACAGACTACAACCAGCAATGCAAGGTAGATAAGTGCTGCATCAAAACAAGATTCCTAACCTTACAATCCAGGACAGACATTTCATCCAATTCGGGTTTCGTGGAGGAGTGAGATCAATATGAAACTTAGAATCTGCCACCGACTATTGTGTTAACCACTAAAGTATTGTTCAATAGCATACGAAGTTACCACAGCCATAGCTTGTTGAGTGTTATCGGTTGTTAGTTTATCGAAACACTGATAAATCAGTGTTGAAATGTAAGCGCTTGCATTTTGTGTGTATTGACTGATATGTCGGTAGATGAATATAAAACAAAGCGCAGTGCATTTCTATGAATCGTACAATGAAATAAATAGCCGACATTCACAGTCAGTCATTCTACTCGTAGAAAACGATTCATCCATTTTTATAAATCATCAATAATGAACTAATAAGAATCTTAGTAATCATTTTTCTTTCATTCCTTACATTCCTAGTGGAACATAAGTCTTCAAGCTTTAAAACTTCAGTCGAGGTGTTGTTTTTTTACGGGATGGAGTTGCTAGTCTCATGCCCAACCTTTCCGCTTTTCTAGGTTTACTATCGGCTAGTAGGCTTGGCCGGGTTTAGAAGTGCATGGGCGGAGAGTTGAACTTGGACATCCCGCATGCGTGGCTAGTGAGCATTCTAACACTAAGCCCAATAATCGTGTTAATTATTAGTGTTGATTAACGAATAAAACGACCTTATTCAAATAAGAAGTTCACTAATTTGTTTTTCTCTTTTAAACTCTAATTTTTAGGAATCCTATTTTAATGAATTCTTATCAGATACGGATATGAAGATCTAATTACTATGATCTGAAATAAATATGACTTATTTTATGAAGTATGGGATACAAATCCTCTATGTATACAAAAATTATCCTATACGATGGGAAAAGAAATAAATTACTGTCTTACAAAAAAACAACAACAAGATGTTCACGACTTCTATTTTTCTGTACACAGACAAATGAACATATTATTATTATTTTATTATTATAGTTCCCTTGGGTTCCCAATGGAACGTAGAGCTTCAGCAGCACACCTCCATTTCATCCTGTTCTCTGTAGTCCTCTTTAGCTGGCTCCACGGTCACTCATAAGCTCTCATCTCCTTCTCACACAACCTCCTTCATGTCACCCTCGGAATGACGCTCAACTCGTTGTATCCTACGCTGGTTTCACTCTATGGCCTGGCATGCGACGTCACTTGACGGTATCCTCAGCGTGTGTCCTGTTCGTCTTCATTTTCTCCCTCATCTTTTTGAGCAATAGGTTCTTGCTTGGTTCGTTCCCTGAGTTTCTTGTTGCTGATCCTTTCTGGCCATCTGATCTTCATTATGGAGTCAGCAAAAGCAGCTGTTGATAAAAATCTGCAACCTATTGGAAATTCTTTTGAGGACACGCCGAGTTTCTGACCCATATAGAAGCATTGACTGACTTAACACTGGTGTTGAAAATCCGAATCTTGTTCTCTATGCTTAGGGCAGCAGATTTCCAGACTGATTTCAGAATGATGAAGGTGTGCTTCACCTTTCCGATTCTGCTTTTGATATCCTCAATTGTTCGGTCTGTAGCTGAAACGCTGCTGCCTAAATAAGTGAAGGAAGTAACCACTTTCGAATTTCTCCCGCTGATAGTGACTGGTGCTTGTTGTTAGTTGGTTACCTTCATCATCTCCATCTTTTCTATGTTCACTAGAAGTCCTGTTTTTGCTGCTTCTTCTGCCAACTTGTTGGTTTTCACCTGTAGATCTTTGAGTTTATGTGACATTAGACATAAATTGTCTACGAAGTCCAGATCTTCCAGCGTCTTCTTATCGGTCCAAAGTATTCCTAACTTCTCGCTGCCACAGTCTTCCGCATTATCCAGTCCACCACAATTGGGCGTTTCATCCGTGAACATAATATGTGGTAAGCAAATTCCATGGTATTTTATTTTTAAGTGATGATTAGAAAGAAAAATCTACTGGGGGTTGGTTATCTTGACTTCAGAGGAACTATGCAGAATGGACTCATATAAGTTGCATGTTGGCTTGATCACTTTACTTCAAGTTCCAGTCGTGTTTTATATAATCTTTTTTAGGAACTTAGAGGTGTAATAATTAGTTTGACCAGCATCGTAATGCATAGAAAAGTTAGTACTTATTGATTTATGTTTGTAGACTGAATCGTATAAAATTTGAACCTTTCATTGATATCATACTGTTTAGGTTATTTGTAATGGATATAGGTGGGGGCAACTAAAAGAAACATTCTGAAAAGTTAGTCAAACAAAATAAACCAGCTTTATTCTGCTTTGTCAGCATAAAATCAAAGGAAGATATCTATTTGCTTATGATATATTTACCTCACAGACTAATATTAGATAAAATTCGTGTATATCTAAAGAACACGCAAATAATTCACTGTTAACATGATGTTCTCCATTATGCGAAGAGTAAATGAAGGTTGTAGATAATTATGAAGCCAGCTAGATAAAGACAACAGAGAACGTAGAATGGAGTGGAGATGTGCTGCTGGAGCACTATGTTTTACTCGAAATCCAAGGGACAGATAATAATAATAATGACAATAATAGTAGATCATCAACCTGATTCCTGTGTTTAAATCATCGTGTATTTAAATTCTCAAGTGTTGGTTTGCAGGGATTAGTTCTATCAGGGACTGACATCAGTTTGAGAACCATTAGATACCAGGGAGTAATAGACATAGCTCGGGACTTTTCACCAGCATGCATTCATGGTCCCCCAGAGACGAATCAAGGAGCTTCAAGGTGAGCTCATTGGTCATTCAGCCAATGGGATGGAATCCAATGGCCTATGAATTCTACCTTCCAACAAATATTAATTATAAAGTGGTAGTAGGAACTTGGATTCAACGAATGACGGAAAGTCTAATTAAAACACACATACTACTGTCTTCGTCCTCGTGATACAGCTATCTATGCGCATAATAGCTATCTCACAAAGATTATTTAGCATGTTAAATAAACATCTATACTATACATAGTTATTGTAAGAATGTGATGCTGTCTCAAACGCAAAACCAGTTATCTCATCAGGTTAACTAATTCCATGAAAGTATAAGACAGTAGAAATGTAAAAGAGACGTTATCATAGGCGAAATGATAATCGAAATTTCAAAAATACTGATGTGAAGGAATGCAGCGTAAACATTTAAGATGGCTCATTCAAATTCGAAAAAAATTTAAATCATTCTAAACCAAGAGAAATGCTGTATTCTTTTTTGAATACTTTTGGTAATAAAGAAGAGTAGAAAACAGAGCAAATAAGGGAAAATAAATGAGGTTAAAGGTTATGGTACAAGGAAAACTTTAGGCTGAATAGGGTTTTGCTGTTTATACGGGATATTGTGGATGGATGGTAGATGCTCCTTCAGCAGCATACTAGTTTGTTGATTAGTGATTTTGGAACTTTTACCAGTATCATTATTATGATTAGAGTCAGAGTAAATGAACTGTCATACAACTTCTTGCAATCTCATCTTCAGAAATTGCTGACAGCTTAACACATCATTCAACGAAAGTGTTGGTGGACGATTTCTTTCATACACTTGATAAATTTCAACAAAGAAAGAAGGACCAATTTCTGTCATCAACAAATGTGAAGTACAGTACACATTAGATATAGGAAGGGTCTATGATTTCCATATAACCCTTGTAGTTGTGTTTACCACTACAGGCGGAGCCACACAAAAGTCCCGTTATTACTGCTTAGTTGAAGCGACGATTCATAACTTAGAGGATAAAAGTGAACTGTAAAACTTTGGTAAAAGCAGGTATCGGATTAACAACCTCATCAACAGAAAAATATAAAGTTGACATGAATCACAAGATTGATATCAAAATATTTTTCAAGATTATCATCGAGGTAACTTACTGCATCAAATTGAAACGGTAGCCCTACATCCTGTGTGCACAAAGACAACTTATTATTACCTCTAACCTACCCTATCTCAGTATATTATCAGAAATAGTATTCATTATTATCCTTCTTATTCTTAAATTCCTTTTTATTTTGTTTATCTTAATTGGCATTTTATTTTTCATATAAACTGCATTGACGAGTCAATGTGATCAGATTGTTTGAAGTGCGCAAATATATCACATTTTTTCAGAGATAAACTCCATCTTCTAATGACATTATTCAAGTTTATTAAAAAAGTTAGTTGTTTTATGCATCAACTTACTGACTGACTGGTCTCAACGTAGAACTTTGCACAGATGTGCAGCAGCTTGAGTTGCCACATTCCGCGTAGCACATAAAGAAAGAGAAGAGAGTAAAAAGAGTGATAATAAACAGAAATATCAGGGAAAGAATAGTAATATGGAAGAACAATAGGATTTTTTTGGATATTATAAATCACAAAGAATGGATACATCTGCTCCATTGAGAAGGATTTTGAGCCATATCACCAATTCTCCCCAGCCATTGGTTTCTATCATCCCGAGGACTCCCACCACTAGCCAAATCTTTTCCAACCTGATCCATCCTATGTCAGCTTACATTGTCCACTATCAAGGAAGGCGTTGACTAGGCATGCATGCGTAACACATGTCCTAACCATCTTAATCGATATAACTTCACAACCCCGTCGATTGATTGTCCGTCCTTATTTAGCACTCGACCGATGCCTTACCTTAATATTCCTCACCATATTATACCACTTAACACTGGAGACAGAATGCAGGCACCTACGATCAAAAACAACGACACGCGTTGTTTTGGTGGGCGACTTCAATGCTCAAACAGTTGTGTCATTCAGGGAAGTGTATTGGCAGCGCTTACTGAGTTCTATGTGGACAAACCAACAACGATGGCTTGACTGTTTTTTCTGCCTTACATTTAGTGCTGATTATAGTTCTTTTGGATCTCTTGTTTTTGTATTCTCTCTACTGTGTGTTGCATGGAGTATGGCAATTCAAGCTGCTGCACTTCTGTGAAAAGGTCTATTTTAGAACTCATTTAATCAATCAGATGCGGCACACAAAGTAAAGCGTTATCAGAAGAAATAAAACTTTAGCTAAGGAGTAAAAATAGTAAAGGATGCTTTCGAATGACTGTTAATAGCTTGATATTACTTTCAAAAAGAAGAAGTAAGGAATTAGTAACATGTTAGCTTTGATTTCGACTCCGAGCAATATCCGTCTGGTAACAGTTAGTCTCATGATCTCTCAGACTTCACCCAGTGGGTCGTGTTGACCCAACACCTGTTCTCTTTATCCCGTGGTGTGGCGTCATAAGCTATCCAAGCCTTTCTTTTCCTTTGTCCGAAGCCGACAGAGTAACAGTGTGGAAGTGATTGGCCGGATATTCGTAGCACACACCTAGACTAGCAAACCAGCTCCTAAAATAATCACTTGTAGAGATGATCTCTTCTTAACTAGTGCCACTGGATAACAGAATTATTTGCGTGACAACATCGCTGGATGCAAAATTTATACGGAGACAACGATAAATGAATGCGAACTATCCCTGACTTTTTAATAAGAATGTTCTTCATAAATCAGATGTCTGTTGGTCGGATTAATGTCACTGGCGTCGAGTTGTTCGTGTTGACATATGTACCTGATTTCACTACGTATTGCAAATTTCACCCATCACAAAATCGGTGCTGAAAACTACCTGGATACATAAACTTCTCGAATACTTCTAATGGTTGGCATGTGAATGTGGGTGCAAGGACGGTCTCCTACGAATCTTGTAGTAGTAACTTACACATACCATACCTATAGGTGCGTCAGTGGCATAGCGGTTAGGACGCTCGCTGACCATGCACATGGTCCGGGGTTCGATCCCCGGCCGACACACTCCTTTACCTCGCTAAGCCAGAATTAAAAGCTGGTGAAGAGGAAAGGTTGGGCATGAGGCTAGCAACCCCATCCTGTAAAAATAATCACCACTGCTACAGAAACTTCAAGCTTCTAGCTTGAAGCCCTATATTCCACTGGGGTACGTGAAGGAATAGAAAAAATAGAAAAGCCTTTTCGTATCTTCCACTTTCTAAGGCCATGTCTCACAGCTGAGTAGTACACACACTCTTTGGTCGACAGCCATCCGGATATCACGTCTACGCCAGAGATGGCATCAACCCTGTTGAATGATAGCTTGGTGTACTCGTCTCTAGGAAATTTTCTGACCTATCTCCGATTGTTTTCTTTGGAATATTCGTTGATCAAAATATTTTCACCAGTATAACCATCAAAAAAATTGGTTTGACATCCTAGCCTCCAACAAATCACGTTCTAAATAGGCCATTTTATTTACCAGTCTGCGAAAAACTCTTTAAATTTCTCATATGATATTTCCAGAGTGGCTTTCAATAAAACAGCTATAATTTTCTTCATATTCTGCTTTGAATCTTACACCTCCTGTAAGAAAACTTACACCTCCGCATTCTACAACGATATAACGCACACAATACAAGTACATTTCAGTATTAGCTAGGCAATGCTTAAACAAGATATACCCCAATCTTGGTTAAAATGTCATTTGAGAAGTTATATTTCGTTACTGAACATTCTTACTATTTAAAAGAATGTTTCAATACTGAACAGTGAATTGTTTCATTCTACAGTTAATAGTTTCTTGAGTTACGACATTAATGACTGATAATAAGATGGCATATTATGAAATCAATTGTGCGTCAATTGCTTAAACTTTGGTGATTTTTACAGTAAATTGAAAAGCAGTGATGAATCTATGCTTTGATAAATGCATTTAAAGCGAATCCAGTATTATCCCAAGAAAATACCACTAGTACTAATAAATTATACGGTCAATACAGCTTTACATGACAGTATTATTTAGAACTCATTTGGCTTATTCATACTGAACTTTCCATTAGGGAATATATTGTAATTAACGTACCTGTTTTGTTGATTATTTGAGTGAGATTTATTCAGAATTTCAATCAACCCGCAAGGATTATTTGCATTTTCTTCATCGTGACCAATCTGGTTTAACTGTCTATATATTACATTTTCATCACTTGAGAAGAGCGTTGAGTGACACTACGCGTTAGGACCTAAAGTGGAACCCGAATAAAAAGCAGTGAGTTGGGCGTGAATCCAAGAACGACATGGAGGAGATCGTGTGGGGAGAAAATGAAAGCTTAGACAGTTTTGAAGCCATCTGACAAAAGACTGCAAAGAATAGAGTGAAATGAAGCCGTTTATTCCCCTCAAAAACCAATGGAGTAATAATAATAAGGTTTATTTGTTTTTAGGTTTAAGATTATGCAATGAGTGATGTTTAAAGATGAACTTATTAACTGGATTACATGATTAGAATTAGAAGGATTTGGATTTCCCCTAATCAGGTGACTGAGCTAAAAAAGACTCAACTTATGATCAGATCCTAACTGAACTTCAATTATAGCGCTTTAAACCGTAATCAAAATGTGAATAAACGATATGTAGCTGTTCATTGAACGTCATCACATTAGGTGTTCAACGTAACCATTGAGTTTATCAGTCACATTTTATTTGACTTTTTAAAAAGAGACGTCTTATGTAGTAAAACTTCGTACCATGAATAGTACTGATAAAGAGTTTAATTCTCCAAAGTCCATGGGATATGACTTCCTACGCCTTTATGGATTACTTAAGATACATAAAACTGTTAATCCGTTACGTCTAATTCTGTCAACGTGTCCTTTTCTCACACGTAGATTGGCAAAATTGTTAGCTGACATTTTAAACCTATTATACAATGAATTATGAAAGTTCACTATGAAAGATACTTTTGAACTTGTTGACATGAGTATAAAAGACAAGAAAATGTACTGTTTTGAAGTTAACTCTTTATTTACTAATTTACCTATAATTAAGACTGTTAATATTCTTTGTGATTACATATCTTCTAGTAGTCTTTCATTTCTTACTCTCCCAAAATATTTGAAAGATCTATTATTAGTATGCACTGACAAAGTTCATTTCACTTCAGTAGGTGAGCACTTTCAACAAGTAGATGGTGTTGCTATGAGAAGTCCACTAGAACCATTATCGACCGATGTCTTACGTTGAAAATCTGGTTTGGTGAATTGACTGCTAAAGTGCCATTTTATGGGAGATGTGTTTACGATATAATCGTAATATGCAATAAGAATGAAGGTGAAGCTTGTACACAGGATAGACTAAATTTTGTACAAAATCACATCAGTGTTACATGTGAGGAAAACAGTTCCATTTCTAGACGTACTTTTGAGGCACAGAGGATGGCTCAATACAGCGATTTATAGACAGCCTACTTAGACAATAAAGTATTTGAATTTTCACGGTTCTTTTGCATTATAATACAAAAGAGGCTTGACTAAATATATATCAAAGAGGATTCAGCATATCTGTACAGCTGATGAGAAAAAATACTGAAGGTTACACTTGTCGAAAACGCATATTCGTTGAGGTTTTTGAATAGGTGTAGAGGGCAGCTAAGTTCAAAGCCTACAGTTTACTCTCTTACAAAGAGAGGTGTTTGTATAAAATTGTTTTATAACAGTGAAATAAACGGGACGAAGACTAAATACTGTCATTCGTGAAATTTGTTATAAGACCCGGCTTATAATTATCGAAAAAGCCGAAAATACGCTCTACTACAAGTCTCAACAGTGCACAAGTAACTACATTACATCCTATATTGTTTACCAATTTACATGCATCTGTGGATACATGTACATACGTGGGGTAATTGTGCTTTGAATGTGAGGGTCGTAGAACATATACCCAAATGGCTTGAAAAACAATTGAACTTTGCAACTTTGATAAACACAGACGGCAGATTACTGACCTCGTCAGTAGCAAAATACGTTACTGATATGAATTATACATAGATGCATACTGACAAAGTGATTTGCTGCTCTATTGGACACTTTGTATTTTGTTAATTTATGTAATATATTTACTACAGATGCATCAGAATAAGGCAGCGCATCAAATTATGAAAGTTGATTCACAAACTATAGTTACAGGCGTTTATTCAATAGCCGTTCTCATTACAATTGCCATTATTATCTAAATTGCTGAATGTAAAAATCTAAAATGTGAAATGTATGCTTATAAAATATTTGTTAATAAACTATGAGCCCGAATTAGCTCAGTGTTAACCTCTCTTACTAGCAGTACTGGGTGACGCGCGTCCGAATCACAGAAGGGACACGTCCAACTGACAGGTGCCAACAGACAGGAGACCTAAATCTAGGGCTTCCTGCTAACTACCTTCAACCGCCCAACACCTATTCAAAGTACACTAAAGTACCGAGTCACCTACCTTGGGAACTTGTAGAATACAATAGTCACAGCCGAAACAAAGGCCTAGAAACATAAGAGTGGTAACCGATTAATGTGTGAACAATAATAATGTTTTCCAATAGATTGGAATATATGCTCTAATAATAATACTACTACTAGTGTGGCTTGTGCTGCTAAAAAGATTTATAAGTAGTACATATATATGCAGACGTAAATATGTATATTGTGCGTCGGTGGCATAGCGGTTAGGACGCTCGCCGACCATGCACATGGTCCGGGGTTCGACCCTCGGCCGACGCACTCCTTTACCTCGCTAAGACAGAAGTAATGTTGGTGAAGAGGAAAGGTTGGGCATGGGACTAGCAACCCCATCCTGTAAAATAAACACTGCTACAGAAACTTCAAGCTTCTAGCTTGAAGCCCTATGTTCCACTGGGGAACATGAAGGAAAAAAATATGTATATTAACGTCAAGAATATCGAATGGCGGAGAGACGGATTCAATGAACGATGCTCAAGAAACAAATCAGAAAACATAACAGACAGACGAAGAAGAACAGTGCTGAAGAGAAAGCAGCACAATAGCGAAGATATATGCAAATTGTCATATTCTACTATATGGTAAACGTCATTTTGCCTATATCTCTACATCGAGTTGTTCTATCTTCTACTGTTCGTTACACTAGTACTACAGTGGGAACAAATATTAATTATTAAAATGTGAACGATATTTATAGTTTTATTAAAAATATTAAAAAGAAAGTCATGTCATGTCATGGTACAAAGCGGTATACACAGCTGATATAGAAAACAAAAGAAAAGAACCATATACAATCATGAATGATCCAAAATATTATCGTATGAAGACTTATTGAGAAAACAAACCAATCACCTACCTAGTTGGAGGAAAGCTTAATACAAAACAAAAATACCAAACTACCAGCAATAAATTTGTTTCATTGTACAAAAGAAGGACAGTTTATTATTATTTTTTTAAAGGTTAGAAAATATACATCAAGATGTGAATATTACTAATAATACTGTTATAAAGAATAATAACAATACTGACAGGGTTATATTCGAAAGTATGGAGGACATAAGTACTTGAATAAAAGCGCCTTCCTTATAAATATTTATAAAACAAAAAGGTAGCAAAAGCGACAATATGACTGAGATATCCTAAACCATACCATTTGTTTAAAGCATGCCACATACTATAACCCTATTAAAAACAAAAAGAAAGGAAAACACATAAAATTCAAGAAATTTTATTCATAGATGGGAAAATTAATAATCTATGAAGAATGTAAACTAAAATATTAAATTACGCATACTTCTCAGTGTGGTGTTTTGCATCCTGATCCGTATTTTCAAGTATTGGTTTTGTAAGGGGTTTGGTTGATTGGTTGGAGGATTTCGTTATGAGCTGACATCGGTTAGAGAACCATTAGAAAACCTGGGAGTACTGGACAGCTGTTTAGTCAGCCTAGTTTGGAAATCTTCAGCAGTATGCACCCACCAACACGGTTCGAACCCAGGACCTTCTGATTACAAGGCGAGCTAGCTCGTAGACCATTAAGCCACTGGGACCCGATTCAATGGCCAGTCCATGAATTCTAACTTCTGCTAATTCATGACATAGCGCGACCACTTCGCAATGTCTTCTTCGATGAGTAACTGTCCTCACCTTCAACCTGCTGTACCCTACTGGTCACGGCTTCCCACTAGAACTCCAGGTTAACTGCCTGAATAGGGCCAGGCAGATTTTCCAATGGTTTTCCGACTGATGTCAGTTTATAATGAAATCCTCCAACTGATCAGTATTTGTTTTAGCTTTATTGAGCCGTTTGGGCAGAGTCAGACTGGGCATACTGTTGATGAGGTCGGCCCCAAACAATCGAAATAGCCATCTAGTATCCAGATCATTTCGACCTGACTGTCAAGTATTACCGGTTAGTGTGAGTGGTATGTAGCTGTCCTTATGGTATCATCAGACAGATCACATATTGTGACCTGAATAATTTTAATTTTCCGAGGGAAATCGTGGTGAAATTAAGCTTAAACTGTGTAAATTGCAAACTGCAAATCCGATTCTATTTATTACTTTATTCTCCCAAGTAGCCAACCAGAATTCGGGTAGTTTTAACTGATTCGGCTGTCTACGGTTAGTTAAACAGGTTACACCGTTGATGAGGTCGACCCCAAATGGTCATCAGGTGTTTAGATCATTTTGATGTGGATGGTATCCATCTACTCATATGAATCAATCAATGAAGGAGATTTCTATCCTGTTAGACGGATCAGTTATAAAATAATAAAAAAAGCAAACTTGCAATTATAGGTTCTCTGAGCTGGTTAGTTTGGTTACGGATTTCATTTTACTTTATGCTAAATATTGCGCTGAAGATGTTGTCCAGAAGGACGACGAAAACACCGTAACCAAACCAACCAGCTCAGAGAACACTGTTAATTGCAAATCATCCACCTGAGCTATAATTCTTACAAATAGCAAACTTCTTATTCATGATATTACTAACTGTGCCTATTTGTTAACAAATGTAGCTTAGTTTATTTAAGGAGGTATTCGATTTTAAGGTTTAAATTTAAATCCATCTGCAGTGACTTTGAGAACCTAACAGTACTGAAGATTTACACATAGAATGTACTTTACAGCTGTATACAAGGCTGTGTTAAATCGTTAAAGTCCATGTGCATACATCAAAAGAAGAAAGCAAGCATGCTTTATTAAGTATGAGTTAAGTGAACACAACTTTTCAATATTGTAGTTACTCATCACCTATATATGAGAGCTGCCATAATATGTAGCATAGCTTGAACTCCTTCGAAGCCAGACAGATTTAAACTTTCTACAACAAATCGAAGCAAAAGTGGTGGTCTAGCTAGCTGGATTCAAAAATTCATAATAAAAACTCATGGTATTCATGAATTACAATTGTTTTAATTCCTTTTGAGTTTCGAGTGGAATATAGAGCTTCAATTTTCAGTAGCAGTGATGTTTTTGAAGGATGGGGTTGTTAGCCTCACGCCCAACTTTCAGCCGGGCCAGTAGGGTACGTCGGCCGGGAATCGAACCCCAAGACAACTTGCACGGCTGGCGAGCATTCTACAGCCAAATCACCGACGCAACATGGATTACAATACTGAGAATAAAGACGGATTTGCGGACTATAATAACTGCTTGGTTAATACACGAAAATTAAACTTAACATTCACTTTATTATTAACCTTACCTGATACTGTTGTTCACTTGTATCAAACATCACAGCCAAATAAGCCAAATGAAATATGGCTAAGCAACTGAAAGCAAAATTCCACCAATATACCCAAGAAGAATTCTGAAAGATAAATAATAATGATAATAATCATGATGAAAATCATAAATCTGCTAAGAATACCTTCACTCATACATCAGTTTTAGTCAATGCAGACGGTTGGAATCACATAAAGAACATTGTGAGCAACACTTCGACTGACCTTCAGTCCATTCCTTAGCGGTAGACTGAACGAAACTTTTAATAAAGAAAAACAATCAAACTTATAAAAACAAAACATTCGCCAAGATAACTTGAATGTCTTCTACTTAGGATGACATCGAGGAGATCGTGTAAGGCGGAAATTACAGCTTATGAGGTGCAATCGTAGAGACGGGTAAAAAAAGAGTACAGAGAATATAATGAAGTCGTGATGTGTTTATGAAGCCCTATGTCCCACTCAAAATCCAAGGGAATAATAACAATAATAAAAATATATATCACAATTAAAGACATTTTTCTTCTAACTGATTGACAAAGAAATGTAATAAAACCGCATCTTTTTGCCTCTTAGGCTAACGAACAAAAGCACTTTGATGTGAGTAAAACATCATATAGAAGAGTCCTTTACAGACTACAAGTGTTTAGCTAAGAAAGATGTGTTATTGAAAGAATTGCTTCTCGTATTTCTTCTCTTTGAAACGACTACAGTACAATAAGATATTCATCAACTTTATTCATTCCTACACGTTCCGAGAGCTTCAAGCTTGATCTCAAAAGTTTCAGTAGCTGTGGTGTTGTTTTCACGGGGTGGAAATGCTAACGTCACACCCAACGTTCACTCTTAAAGAGATTTAAGAGTGAGTTAACCGGGAATCGAACCCGTAAAAAGAGATGACTCAGAGTGTGCAATTTATCTTACAAATGTATTGTGCTTATGACTGGGCATATGGCTTGCAGCCCTATCGTGTAAAAAGGCCACTGTAACTGAAACTTCAGAGCTCAAACTTGAAACTCTATGTTCCACTCGAAACTCAAAAGAATAAAATAGTTGTGCTTATGAATGATGATTTATTATGATGAGTATTCCTTCTTACCTTGTTAACATGAGAGCAGGTTTCTGGACACGGTCGACTGGCTACACATGCATTTAGAATAGTTGCTAATTTCTCTCGTAAAACTAAAAAAAGGAAGAAAGACATGGTGGGTAAATAACGCAAAACACTAATTTAAAGATAAATTGGGTCATAGGTAAGCAAAGTAAAATGATCAACAAGACAGGTTAGTCTGAAAAGAGGAAATAACATATTGATTTCAAGATGGATTACGGATTTCATCATGAGCTGGCATCGGTTAGAGGACCATTGGAAAACCTGCAGGGAGTAATGGACAGCTTTTTAATCCTTGTTTGGGACTCTTCATCAGTACGCACCCAGGTTTTCCAGTGGTTCTCTAACCGATGTCAGCTAATGATTAAATCCTGTAACCAATCAATCAAATCCCTACAAGCCAATACTTGAATTTAAAGATGGAATTTTCTTTAATTAGATGTCTAAAGTGAATACCACTAATTTATGAACTTTACTGTATAAAATGGCCCATGTACATACTCATAGTCCGGGTAATCGTATATCTAGTAAGTGGAGGGCATATTTCATAACTGAATGATAATTTATTTTCATAGTTTAACTAGAAAATATCATAAACTGCAAAAAAATGTGGTTTGAGTCTAATGCCTTTTATTTAACCATCAGACTATCTGCGAGAGATCAAATTTGCCATTCGCAATTTACCCAGTTCGAGGTGAAAATTTCACTATGGTTTCCTTTGGAAACTGAAATTATTCAGATCACAATAGACGATCTGCTTCATACCGTACGTTGGTAATCAAGCAAAAATAGCATAAATGTTCAATGGAATATACTACTAAATGATTGAGATGTGTAGTTGGATACTGCTCAAATTAACGGGTAATGCCTGATAACCAAATCGAAACAATTTATTCACTGGGTGGTTTGAACTGATCAGACTGTCTGACATGAGTCAAATCGGGTATACGGCTGGTGAACTCAGTCCCTGATAAGCGCAACGACCGTCCGATGTTCGGATCACTTCGATCTGGTTGCTATGAATGGTATCCAGCTACTCATCACAATCGGTCAGTAGTATGTAGCGTCATGTAACTGCAATACCTTTAGGTTGGCAGACTCCCGTTGATATAAAGGGTGCTGATTATATGAAAGGAAAATATGAGTTGCGGCGGCATACATATCAGCGGTCAGAAGCTCAAGCAACTGATCTACAAGATCCAGCGGCTAAAAGAATCCCTTTCAGCATTCTAATCCATTAGAACAAGAAGGAATAAAGAATGAAAGAAAAAACAGTGTATTACGGCGTTGATCAAAAGACAGTGACTGACTGACTGGTTTCAGCGTAGAACTTCGCACAGATGTGCAGCAGTTCAACCTGCCACACTCCCTCATTGTAGCACACAAAGCAAGAGAAGACAGTAAAGGGAGATTCAAAAGAGAGATGATAAACAGAAATATGAGGGAAAAAGAACAAGAGTTTTATTGGATATGATAAATCACAAAGAGTGAATGCATCTGAGCCAGCCACTGACAACGATTTTGAGCCATACCACAAATTCTCCCCATCCATTGGTTTCTACCATCCCGAGGAACCAAACCAGTCAGGAAGCCATTCTACACCTTCTTATGTGTCTGAGCTAAACTAACTGTTGTGGATTTTATTGGCTGATGAAGCCATGTTTTGGTTTGACCACCACTAGCTCTTTTTCAACATGATCCATTCTATGTCAGTCAGCTAACATTGCCCATTGTCGATGAAGGCGACGGCTAGGCTAGGCGTGCGTAAGACATGTCTTAACCATCTCAACAGGTGTAACTTCACAACCTCGTTTATTGATTTCCCCTCCTTACCTAGCAATTGATCGATGCCTCACCTACACCACCTAACACGGGAGATAGAATGCCGATACCTATGATCAAAGATAGCTAGCCTTTTCCTGTTTTCCATTTTCAATGACCAGTGACTAAATCAGTAAACTAAAATATACACAGCTTACCATATTCAATATATGCATAAATTCCAATGGAGAATAGAACAGCGCTCAATTGAAAATTCAAACCCTAAAAGCGAGATTTTTTCAGAAAAGAAAAATACATAGAAAGTGAATAGTAATATCTGGTAAATTATAAATATTCAGTTAACTTAAATCAAAGCTAAATTTATTGGTTTTATTAGGAAAGGGGTGCGTCGTTGGTTCAATGAAAGGATGTTCAACAACTACACTTCACGTGGTCCTCGGGAGGACCGGCCGACGCGCTCTTGAACCTCGCTAAGCCGATAGTTAGTCTGGGAGAGAGAGAAGGTTGGGCGTAAGGCTAGCAACCTCACCGTTATTGAAACTTCAAATCTTGAAACCTTATGTTCCACTCGGAACTCAAAGGGATGAAAACAAACTGAAAAACGACTATTAAAAAAAGGTAAAATCTACGTAATTCCTATTTAAAGAGACAAATCTTTCAGTCTTATTGGGTCATATCAAAGTATGTTAAACGCAGTCTTGAAATCTAACGACTTAAGGTAAACTATGCAATGAAATAAAATAATACAAGTTAAAGGATAGTTCTATTTTGAGATATTTACACTTTTGTTATTTCGTATAACTCAAGAAACTCAGTTATTCAAGAGCTGAGCAGCTTTTCTGCATTACAACAAGGATCGTTTTGAATAAAAAAGACACTTGATCAATAGCAGCACTTAAGTACTGACTCTAATTACAACATTGCAATGAATAAGTAACAGAGACAACTCATTCTCTTTAAAAAAAGTCATAGTTTGTGTTTAAAAGTGAACTATGAGCTTTGTTTTTATAGGTTTTGTTGAAAGAAACCTCGTAATACGGGCGACTGAACCAAGTACAAAAGTGCGGATGATGACGGAATAATATACGAATGATCGTCTTAATATGTAAAGAAACTTTGAAGACTGTTTCATCTTATGCTTTATTGAGCGTGCTGTTTAACAAAAAGAAAAAAGTTAACAAAGTGAAGAACTATTCTAAACTCTTGACTGTTATAATCCACTATTACGTTATGGTAATTACAAAAGAGAAAAAAAATCAGCTTTAGATACATCCTTGTTGTGATGTGTATCATTGGTAACAACACATACAAGTAGTAGAAAGTTTAATGTTTTCTGAAAATAGTAGCGAGAACTTATATTTGACTAGTAACGCTCATGAAAAAGAAACAGAGGACAGTGAGGTCATAATACTGAAGATAATCAAAGAATGGGAAGTGCTGATATTCATTGTACAAAGTGGACTGAATGCAAGATTTAGTATTTTATAAATGATCATGGCATTGTGTTCAAGAGGACAGTGTATCTATATCCTCACCAGTCTTGATTTCTACATTGTCACCAAAGATATTGCTGGTTGTAGTGGACTGGATGATGACGTACACCGTGAGGTTGGAGATGACAGGCATAAGTTAGACCAACAAGAAGACTCCACAAGATATGGACTTTGCGAATAATCTATGCCTGATGTCAGAAACTTGAGGACCTACAGGCGAAGACCAAAAAGTTGACAGAAGAATCAGTGAAAACTGGACTTCAATTGGTCATGGAGAAGACAGAGGTGATGAAGACACCTAACCAAGAATAACAAGCATAAATTACTATCAACAAAAGACATTTGAAGGCGATCACCTCTATCATTTACCTGACGAGGGGCACCGTTCCAATTACCGACAGCACAGATGAAGATGTCAAAACCAGAAGGGGAAAGGCAAAACATACCTTAGTTAGTATGAAATCAGTCTGAAAGTCTACTGCACTAAGCATGAAGAATGAGATTCCCATTTGCAACATTAATGTCAAGTCAGTTCTTTATGGTTCAGAGACTTGATGCATCAGCAAAAGCATTTCAAACAGCTGCCTTCGCTGACTGCATATTGAAGGTAGAATGGCCAGAAAGAAGCAGTAACTACTGGAAGGAACCAACCAAGCATCTATTGACTAGCATATATGCCGACGAAAATTGATATGGACCGGAAAAACACTAAGAAGACCATTGAGTGACATCACCCGCCACACCCTCGAGTGGAACTCGAATGAGGAACGAAGAGTTGGGCGTCCGACGGTCACATGGAGATAGTGTGAGCCAAAGATGAGAGCTCATTGACACTCGTGGATCTAGCTAAAGAGGACCACAGAGAACAGAAGTGAACTGAGATGTGCTGCGGAAGCTCTATGTTTCACTCGAAACCCAAGGGAATATTAATAATAACATATTTTATATGAAACTTAAATTTATGCAGGCTTAGAAAATAACATTCATGATACAGAGTAAAATTCGTCATCTGAAAACTACATAGTTCGAAGTGACTTGATCTGATTTAGTCCAGGTATGCGGATGATGAGACCGCTCTCAAAGGAGGGATCTGACCAACAAGAACTACTTCTTGACGTGATTAATTACTGAATACTCAGTATATGCCATCAGGGTATAACAATATTCAAAATAAATATGATGAAATTTATCTATTTTAACATTTGCAAACAGTTACAAAAGTGTAATTAAATTATATTAGGATTATTAAACTCCTGATTAATTAAGATCCAATTAATTAAGAAAAAATTAACAAAACCCATTGAACATTCACATTTATCAATGTTTTAATACTTACATGTAATAGTGAGCTAGCTGCATACGTTCCCACGATAGCATAAATATGTCCATATGCACGTAATGGTTTGTATACATCTAGTTATAAGGATTTTGAAAAGAAAAATTACATTTGAAGAAAGCAGCCATTCCTTATTCATACTTGTGATTTTCTATTGATTATTCTGAACCAAACTGACCAGCCTGATTTTAGCATGTGGGTTACTTGAACAGATGGCCCGTTAGTGATAGGGAGTGATAATGATAGAACATGTTGACCACTTCACCTATTTGGGAAGTTGTATCAGCACCAACGGATCCAAAAAGCTCGGGCTGCTTTCGCTAACTTACACCGTCTCTGGCGTAGGCGTGACATCCGGCTATCAACCAAGGGACGTGTGTACTGCTCAGCAGTTTGCTCCGTCCTTCTCTATGGTGGTGAGACGGGGCCATTGAGAGCGGAAGACATGAAAAGGTTGAGTGCTTTTGACCACAGATGTTTACGATCTCTTTCTCGCGTTAGGTGGCATCATAAGGTAAGTAATGTTGATGTTAGGCGTAGAGTGTTGGGCAAAGAGGGAAAATCAATCGAAGAGCCTATAAAGTTACATAGATTGAGATGGCTAGGTCACGTGCTGCGCATGCCTAGCCATCGCCTCCCCCGACGGGCATTACTAGTTGATATAGGTGCAGGTTGGAAAAGAGTAAATGGTGGTCAAACAAAAACATGGCGTCAATCCATGAAATCCTTGACAGTTAAACTGAGTCAGGTAGGGAGATGCAGACTTCCGGGTTGGGGCCCGCCCTCGGGACTCTAAGAATCAATGGCTGGAGACAATAGGTGACATGGCTCAAAATCATTGTCAATGGCGCAGATGTATTCAGTCTCTGTAATCTTTCATATTCCTTTCTACTATTACTCATTCTGTTTCACTCTTATACTTATCAAAACTCTATTGATTCTCTTCACTCATTTTCTTGTCTACCTTTGTGTGCTATTTGGAACGTGGCAACTCGAACTGCTGCACTTCGGTGCCAAGTTCTATGTTGAATCCAGCCAGCCAGCCAGCATAATCTGAATGACATTTTATACTTGTTTCCGTGTGACAAAGCAAACTTAGCAGTGCAGACTTGTTGAAAAATTTTCATTATTACTTACATTGCTTTAACCAAGTATGCATCGGTAAATTCCAGTGAATTACAACTTCAACTAAGGATCGAGGAAATTCAATAGACCATGGACGTGTCACAACAAATGGTCTAGAGAGAAACAAATGAAAATCAACGTCAATCATTAAGTACTAATGAAACAGGTGTCAAATAATAACTCATCACAAAAAGATTAATACTTCGCATATGTATACACAGACTTTTATACCTATGGGGTAGATGAGAAGTTAGATGAAAGCCAATCACTGTGTTGTATTGATTAGAAATGTCGACAGTATATAATCATGTCGTGAAAGAAGTTATAAAATCACTACATGTTTTAGAACTGAACTGAACTGTAGAAGAAGTTTCTAATGAAACACACTCAACTAGCACGCAGTCAAGTGAAGTGGTAGTTTCGCGAACCTTATCTGGGTCGAAATAGTCACCCCAATTTAAAACACATAAGGAAACAAGCAGAGTTGGACACTTACATTATCATATAAATTTACTGTGGTATTTATTCCTTTAACAATTATGCTACTTGTTAACGGCCACATCAAGCAATGTTAGCTGACACAGAATTAATTAGGTTGGAAACGAGTAAGGGGTGGTAAAACCAAAAAGTGGCATAGACCCATGAAGTTCTTCACAGTTAATTTGAGCCATATGGGAAGATGTAGATTAGATTTTGCATTATTATTATTGTTATTACCCTGGGTTCCAAGTGGAACATAGGGCTTTAGCAGGATACCATCATTTCATTATGATCTCTGAAGTCTTTTTAAACTGGCTCTGCGATTGCCGATAAATTTTCATTTCTTCCTCAGACCATGTCCATATCACCCTCAGAATGTTTTTGGGATTGATTCTCACTGAATAGCAGCTTTGGCTGTAGTTGGTGAAATCATGATAGCCACTCCCTCAGTGCGTTCGTGGTTGTCGTCTGGATGACTGGAGTAAATTATTGACTCTCAAGTTGATAATCTGGGAGTTCACACCTATTCCATCTGGTCTCACAGATTCCAAGCACTTCTGTGACATATCTCATTTCTTCAGCAACCTGAGCAACCTCCCCAGCTTTGTTCATCTTGCGAACACTCAGCATTTCCATGGTTACTTTAGCTTTCATCGAAGGGAGGTGCATCGGCTGACTGGCTTCTCGAGGGCTTCCGCAAGCCCGCGTCATTCCGTCACTCCAGTCCCAGAAAGGAATACGTTTATCAGCCTCACACGCCTGCCCGACTCGACAACATATAATCATTCAAAATGTATATACAAACATACGAGTTATTGAATAAATTTAAAAACAGAAAACATACTTGTACACTTCTATTGTGCTTTTTTCTTTTTCTTTATTATTATCATCTAATTTTTCTTTAGACTTAACTGAATATTTATCACAGTATCCCAAGGCATTCATAAAGGATTCACTTGAAATGCATACAAAATAATGACTGAAACGAAAACTCTGGGAGGAGAAATAAGCATACAGCCAACTGACAGAAATAAAGAAAGAAAATGCGGAAAAAGAAAGGATTTGTCAGGGTATTATTAAGTACTGACTGAAACAATTGTTAAAAAAAGAACAAGTAGTTGTCATGGTAACATTTTTAAAACAATTAATAAAAAGAAATATCAAGCGATCATCTTTAAGGAACGGTGTCAGTCTAACAGTACTTTTTATTGGAAAGATTTATTACCTGTCTGTGCAATAAACTTGGCTTCTTCAATGGTGGAAATGAATAGACGACTCATTGGTAACCACCTAGTTTCCTAGTGAAGAAAAATGCCGGTAGCGGTTGAACAGCAGAGAAAGTTATTTATTGTATTCTACCGAAGCTGTTCAGTGGGATTCGAACACACCATTTAGTTAGCCACCTAGAACTCTGTTACACAATACCTAACCACATTTATTGTGTTAAGGTCAAAAATGCCATCCAGTTGCTCAGGATAAGGTAGATAGAGAGAGATTCGAACTCTGAATGCATTGGTTGCAAGTCGAGTGCCTAAGCCAATGACCCATATTTCACCTTTCACGCAAAGTTGAAGCTATAGGAATTTGAGAATGGAAACATAGCCTTTGTATTTGAAAAATATTTACTTTATTTCTGTTTATCTCATTTTCACAGTGAATTTAGGTGATTATATTATGATTGTTCCCTTGGCTTCCTAGTGGAACATAGGGCTTCAACTGCACGTCTCCACTTGCTTCTGTCTTCTGCTGTACTTTTCACCTGCATCCATGTTATTCCATACTGTTTCAACTCCTCTTCACACGATCTCCTCCATATCACCCTTGGACGTCCCACTCGCCGCTTCCCTTTCGGGTTCCACTGGAGCACTGGCCTGACGCGCGATGTCACCCAACGGCCTCCTCAGCGACTGTCCAATCCATCTCCACTTTCTCCTGCATATTTGTTGAGCGATTGGTTCTTGTTTTGTTTGTTCCCATAGCTTCTTGTTTGTGATTCTTTCCGGCCATCTGATCTTCAGTATAGAACGGAGACAGTTGTTGATAAAGGTCTGCAACAGGCTGTTGGAAATATTCTTTGTGACCCGCCAAGTTTCTGATCCGTATAGAAGAACTGACTTGACGTTTGTATTGAAAATCCGAATTTTGTTGTTGATGCTGAGTGACGAAGATCTCCAGATTGGTTTCAGGTTGATGAATGTGTTTCTCGCCTTCCCGATTCTCGATTTGACATCCTCGTCCGTTCCTCCTGTAGTTAAGACAATGGGTGATGACCTTCCTCCATTTTTTATATATCGATTACGATTGACTAGACTTTGCTTATTCATCTATTTCATCCTTAGTATTATTAAGCTTTTAATCTGATGAACTGTTTCAGTATTTTCACTATTTTTATCGTCAACTGATTAAAGTACTAGTATAAACAAATGGAACAATACGGAATAGAAACTGTTGTATCCACCAAATAAATCTTTAACAAAATGAAACTCAAGCGGAGACAAAATTTACTCTTTCATATAATAAAGATAAGATTACGAAATCTTTAAGTTAACGAATTTCAGAATCGCATCTATCAAAATATGGCTTTTTAATACGTTAAGGTTCAGCTAAGTGCCATGGGGGGGGGTCAATTCGTCTGAGGTTGCAGATACACCATCCTGACGAGTGGCAGGAGGCACGAGACCCAGGTCCAACGCTTCCAGTTAGTTACCTCTAACTACCTAACATCGATATATATATATATATATATATATTCAATAAGACCTTAGTAATAAGAAAGTTATCAGAGGAATAATTACACAACATGTGACTGGTGGTAGTTACAATGATGACTGACAAATTATCATTGACTTACGGTTGAAATGTTAATTTAGAAATTAATGTATACGTAGAACAAGTTGAATAAATTAAACACAGTAAAGATGTTCCAAATAATTTAACTGTATGCAACAATGATAAGATAATCTATAACGTAAAATATAAAGTGTATTAAAGTAAACACAAACGATAAGAATAAAGAATAGTTAGAGCCACGGTCAGCAGAACAAAACAAAACTTAATTACCCTAAAAACCCTACGGAGGTCTACAGGACTTACCATGATGAATAAAATTTGAATTTTCATTACTAATGTCAAGTTAGTCAGTGCTTCTATATGGTTCAGAAACTTGACTCAAGCTTAATCTAAAAGCATTTCCAAAGGCCTGCTGCAGACCTTCATTTACAGTTACCTTCAGAAATCGGATAGCCGGTCGGAAATGATAAGAAACAAGGAACTCTGGCAGAGAGCCAGCTAAGATAAATTAGACATACACTGAGGATACCGTTGAGTGATCTCACACGCCAGGCAGAACCCCAGGTGGAACCCGAATGAAACGCGTCCGAGGATGACACCAAAAAGGTCATGCGAGGAGAAAATAAGAGCTTGTGGGCAGTCATAGAGTCGGTTGAAACTGATAGCAGCGAACTCAGTGGAGTGGAGCTGTGCAGTTGACACTCTGTGTTCAACTAGGGACGCAAAGAATGAGTAATAGTAGTAAAACATTTTACTTGTTGTAGATCGAATCGGAAAACAAATCAGCTCTACGGATACCATATGAATTCATAATTGTATAAGTGATATTCAACTATTATCTGCATGTTTGCATAGCAACTACCAGGCTGGTGATGTGTATTTTGGCTTAAGCGTTCATCGTTAACCTAGTAGATCCTATGTTCAAATCCTGCTCCGCTTATTTCAGACTGGGCGATTGGGTAGTATAATCAAACCTCACACTTATAGTATGACCGTGATTTATAGTAATAGGTCTCAGGTAGTAAAGTGTTTGGTGGCGAAACTTGACCTACTACAACCTAGTGTATTATTCTGTAAGTTATATGCAATGTATGATGGCTTGACATAATATTGGATTGTCAAAATAGCAGTAAGAGTAATTTTAAAGTAATAATTCAGTCGTGTTGACAGTAGAACAGTTTACATCAGTGAATAATACTTTAAATGTATAATTTCTTGCATACTTTAAAGAAGTTTAGAAACCGTACAACATCCAAATGGGAATTTCACACATACATTACAGTGGCTTTCATAAGCTTCTCATCATAGGATATGAATAAAGGTCTTTATAAAATTGATATACATGTGTAATGATATGTAAAAACCCAGTTGTGTTTAAACAAGATTAAAAAAAAGTGAGAGGATTAAATTCATGCTAAGAAATTAATCACTTTGTCTAATTGTATTACATCGTGAAAGAATTCCACTTTTATACAAATGGTCTTTTTGTTCTTTTCAGTCTTCATTCCAAGTGGAATACAAGGCTTCATGCTTGTGAAGTTTCAGTAGGAGTGGGGTTTTTATGAAGTGTAATGCTAGTTAACAGCCCCTTGAGATTCCATGCAGTTGGCAATGAGCTATACCATTACTACCCAATTGCCCAAACCTCGCTAATGTGTTGCGCAATTCAAACCCGTGACCAGCTTGGTTGGAAGTCAAGCGCCTAGACAAATGAGCCACACTTCCACAAGGGGGTTGCTAGCCTCATGCTCAATCATCCCTCTTATCCGCGATTAATGTTGGCTAGTCAACTAGGCAAGGTTTAGGAGTGTGTGTGTGTGTGTGTAGGGAACAGAACCTGAACCACATGAGTGGTTGGTGAGCATTCTATCATTGAACTACCAATGCATTTTATAACAGATGGCAGCTTTTGCTTATGCAATTCAGTGATAATTATTTAAAAGATAAAACTAATAGATGGAATTTTACTAGTTCAGATATAACATGTTCATCGAGCAGCATAGCTCTCGAAATAATAATTAACGGAGAGACACTGATTTATGATGAAAATGCTTTGCAAGATTCATTTGGCCTTTTAGCAGTTACCGAAATGCTATATATTTGTGACCATCAATTTTGGTACCCTTTCAAAATGAAATTATAAGTTCGGAAAAGTAGTCATCGAAACTTTATATATATATATATATACCAGTTACCATCAACGGGAAGAATCTGAAGCAAGTCATCTCTTTCACCTACATAAACAGCATCGTTTCGATTACAGGCGACAAAGCAACACAGAAGTTCATTGGTCTGAAATCAGTGTGAAAATCTACCGATCTTCAACACTAATGCTTCTATACGGTTCTGAGAATTGGCGCTCGCGTTACTACAAGCATTTCTAACAGGCTGTACACGTTTATCAACAGCTCCCTTCGCTCCATACAGAAGATCGGGTCGTCAGCCAGAAAAGATAAACGACAAGGAACTCTCGCAACTAATCAACTAAGAACTTATTGCCCAACAAATATGCAAAAGGAAATGAAAACACGCTGAGGAGACTAGTAACCGAGATTACACCCCAGGCGGGCCCTTGAATATACTCCAAATGGGAAACAATGAGTAGGGCGCATTGGAGATCGTGTGAGGAGCAAATGAAAGGTTGCGGGTGATTGTGGAGCTAGCTTAAAAGACTGCATAGAACAGAGTGGAATGGTGATGTATTGCTGAAGCCCTTTGTTCCACTAGAATCCCAAGGAAATGATAATGTATATTCATATTTTAGATAAGTGTAAGAAGATTAAATATGTACAGAACTTACATTTTTTAAAGAAAATCTTGTACTATTATAATCACTTCTAATCATTTCTTCATATTTCAATGGACTAAACCATGGACCAAACAATAGACTAGCTGGACACAAACAATATGATAACCAAACTAATCCACGATATAATGGTGTCCACAATAGTATACACGGTTGACTGTTGACATGGTTACTATAAAATGTGTTTTGTTCCATTGAAAAAGATATTGATTTCATAATAATGATCATAATACTTCCTAGAAAGAAGTTAATCAAGACAATAACAAAAGATGAGTAAAGAAGGTATTGAACAACTGGACAGGTAAGGTCAAAGTAATTTTTCATTCCAAATTAGTACATTAGAAAATGAAAAAAGCTGCTTCACCCTATTTTATTCCAAAAGAAATTTTTAACAACCATTTGAAGTTCAAGTTTACACCTTTGAAGACAGTAAGAATATAATATACTTCACATTAAAAATCATTGATTGATCAGACAGTCAGGGGGAAGATATTGTGATATATAGGGATCAATGTGGCCATCACGACCTTTGAGTTGAGGGAAATTTATCCCTACTAAGTGACACAAATTTTTATGTCGGAGAAGTCACAAGCTTCCTTAAACTTAAAGATTCGCCTTCCCAATGAGTACCAGACAGCAGGAAATCTCGATCAAGAAATAACTCACGATTGACTGCAAACTAATAACTAACGCTATACAATATGTAAGATAGACGGAGGTATTGTAGATAAGAGAATAAATTAAAGTCATGAAAAATATCGTTGTTTGATCTGTTCAAAAATGCTGGCTTTACTTGTCCTTAAAATCTAAGCTAAAGTTTGATTTTATTCTACGCTTATACACAAAAATTATCCCTTATAAGAAGTATCTTGAAAAAGGGAAACAAACGTAATCACCGGGAAGAGTAAAGCTTTGCTAAACGTCCCCTTTTTATATGACTTATATGGGAATTCCTTAAGCTACGTAAACACTACATTGTAGTTATCTCGTCATAATAAAATAGGCTGTTAGAAGATACATATATTTACAGAACAAGATATGTATACACTTGCATAATATTTTAGGTATTTTAAACTGTTTTAATTGTCTGACTGAGACAACTGCACACGGAAGTGTATCAGTTCAAGTTGCCACACTCCATATACACCACACAAAGTTACAGAAAATGAAACAATTCAAAGGAACAATAATGAGAAGTAATGTATCGTAGAAAGACTAGCCACATGGAAAATCACGAGGATTTAACTGGTCTCGGAGATTACAAAGAGTGAATGCATCTGCCCCCCCACCCATTGAGAACGTTTTTTTAGCCATATCCGCAACAATCTCAAGCACTGGATCTTAGAATCCCGAGGACCTCAATTTTACATGACTCACACCAACAGTCAAGGACTTCATAATTGATTCCATGATTTGTTTCGGACACCCGTAACTCTTTTTCAACCTAACTATATGTCAACTAACATTGTTCGACGGGGGGAGGGGGCGGTGGTTTGTCATGAGCAACATGTGCCCTAGCCATTTCAATTGATGCAGCTTTTCCATAACACTGAAATAATCGAATGACCAGAAGCAAATATTTATTCAACAACCTTACCTCGAATTTGATGCCATTGGACAGGGTTCACATATAGTTCACTGTAAAAATAATCATATAACAGAGGAAACATTTTTTTTTATTCTTAGCTAGTTATATACACAAGATAGAAGACGAAAATATTTAAAAACTGATATAAAATTAAGGGTAAAGTCTAAAATAAAACTCTCCTAACGTTGACAAGTCTAGGGGAAAGTAATTTATGAACCAAGTAACAACAGTACTATGTTATACGATTCTTTTCTGCCTTACGAGTTTCTTCTTTTACATATACCTAAGGCAGCTGGAATCCACCTGAAGAAGCCTAACTTATATGTTCCGAAGAAGTTCATTCAGATACTTTCCATACCTTGGCTACCACCACTTGATTGTAATAATATTCCCATCTCTTTAAGCCTTTTAAAAGTTATTATTGTTTTAACTATCTTCCACTTTTACATTAATTTTCTTCTTAATCTTTATTTGATATTCAATTCAGTATAACACATTTATGCATATTATCACGGATACACACTTTTGAACTGTAATTTATTTATTCTAAGAATTCGATATTATTTAAAAAAAACATCGATGTTGTCACTAACGAATACTCTTTAAGTATTGTGTACATACATAACTGTAGAGATAGATGAGGAAGTTATGGGAAAGAATATTCTTTGCTCAATCTTTGCGACCTCTGCGTTAGCAGAAATGAAGGAATAACACCAAATTGAGAATGAGGATATCTACTGTCATACAGATACTTTTCAACAATAGTGAAACATTCTACTGAACAAAGTTTTAGTGACGTATAATAGGAAAGTGTCTTAATCAGTCTCTTTTGCAGCTTAACAGATAAAAACTGTTCAAAATGAAATAGGGTCTGTTCCATAAAGCTTTAGGTAGAATACATATATTGTCAGGAGTTGATTCGTAAGGATTTGAATTGTTTTACGAGTTTGACCACGGATTGCTATGAGTTAGACAACCGTTGAAAACCACGGAGTACTGGACAACTGTTTCGTCCCAGTTTGGCGCCCATCTGATGCTTGCTAGCGACTTGCTACTGGACGGAGCTTCCAGGATTTCTACTGAGAAATCATGACTAGTGAGGTTCATCCAGTCGGGAGTGAAGATGGAGTTCCCGCCGATGACATTGGTTGGTGGTCACGTTAAAACCACGAAGTTAGAATTCATGGGCAGGTCATTGAATCGGGTCCCAGAGGCTGAATGCCATACGTGCTTGCCTTATAACTGGAAGGTCCTGGGCTCAAAACTCAATGGGTGCGTACTGCCGATGATTCCCAAACTAGGATGAAATAGCTGTCCAGTACTCCCATCTGGTTTTCAATGGTTCTCTAATTGATATCAATCCGTGTTCAAACTCGGAACACATGTAACTCTGCACATTTCTATATGTATTATGTAGGATTTCAATATGATATAGGTGAAAGTTGCCATTCAACTCGTATTTCACAGGGAATTCTAAATTCTTGTTATAAATATATCAAGTAATTACAAATAGCAAATGTATCATCAGAAGATCACTTATAAAATGCCATCTCAATTAGAAAGTTATGCAAGACTTTATTTAATCGATGTTCATCAGTAAAGAATGTCCAAATTTCATTTTAGACGAAACATCGGTAAACCTGAATATTACACCCGTAGACAATACAGTTTACATGGAAACACTTTAAAATCAGTTAAATATAATAGAATTACCAGTATAGTTGAACAGATGAACATATTCCTAAGGTAATAAATGTTTCCCAGTTTACACTCTGTTTATCAGAATGACGAAAATGAGAATTAATATCAAGGATAAAGACAACAGCCAGGCTGACTGTTAATCCAAGTATTATCCACCATAATTCATAGGCAGCACGATGTAAAATGAATAATCCTTAAATTTGCAGAAATTAAATAAAAATAACAAAACAAATACAATTAATGGTTTATGGAAAGTTAGTTATTTTATCTTTACTGAACTCAACAATGATACGGTTATAAATGACAGATAACAGACGTTGCACAAGTGGTGACTCTTGTGATATACCAACAGTTGATTATGCTGTCTAGATGGATAATGAAAGCTTCTCAATTAAACTATCCAGCTCATAGAATACAACCGCATTTTTGAAAAAAATTTCCACTTGAGCAAGCTACAAGTTTCCTTAATTATTTTGAAGTGGATTTTATCAGAAAATGAAAACAGCTATGGAACCAAGCCAAACTGATAAGCTCTGTGTAACATTTGTAAAACCTTGTTTGGGACCTTTCAGCAGAACACTGATACGACTACAAGAGAAATTAAGGCGTCCGCTTTGCTATTCAGCTGGAATCCATGAATTTTCAACCTAATAAAATAACTTGATAAATTTTCGATCTTACAAGTATTTCTTTTATTCCAGTGCATGTAAGTTGCAATGACTTCATCTCAAACTGTATCTACAGGTACACCGATAGTTGTGAAGATATTATTATATATATATATATATATATATATGTATATAGGTAAATTTAATAGAACGTTATGTTTTGGAGTAAAATATTCCCCAAATTGTTATTAATCGACTGATCCCATTAGATTCCTAGAGGAACATAGGGCTTTAGGACTACATTTTCATGTCGTTCTGTTTTGTCGCCGTTTTTTAGCTGGCTCCACGACTTCTCACAAGCCTTGATTCCTTTTCACATGACCTTCTCCATATCATTTTCGGACTCCCAACTAGTCGCTTCTTATTCAGTTTGCACCTGGCAGATGATGCTACTCAACGATCACCTCTGCGTATATTTAAACTACTTCCATCTCCTTCTGCGAATTTGTTGAACAGTAGCTTCTTAACTGGTTCTCTGCCAGAGTTCATTGTTACTCGTTTATCTTTGCCGGCCACTCATTTGATGTTCAGTAGCTAGCGAAGGCAGATGTAGATAAACGTCTGCGCCAGGCTGTTGGAAATGTTTTTGGTGATGTTTGAGGCGCCTCTTTGAACCACATAGAAACAGTAATTGACTTGTCGTTAATGCTGAAAATTCAGATCTTGTTCTTTATACTTAGTGCAGTAGATCTCTACAATGATTTCAGAGTTATGAACACCTGTCTTGCTTGGGCGATCCCACCCTGGCCGACTATGACATCCCCATTCATGTTGTCTGGAGTTCATATGATGATGTCTAGGTCAGGTGAGTGAAACAGACGACTTCCTTACATTTTTTCCCAATTGGTGGTGATTAGTGTTTGTTACTGTAGGTTGAGTATCTTCATTCCCTGTGTTTCCTGTACGTTCCCTTGAAGTACACGTGTTATTATAAACATATAGTTAAATTAAATGCATTTGTTCTGAATACATATTCAACATAACTCTTCGAAAAAACAGTTGTTAACTAATCGTCATGAAAGCAGTACAATTAATGCATACAAATGTCGATTCATAATGATGGAAATATTCAGTTTGTCACATATCATCTATTGAAATAAAGACCTTTTAATATGTCTATTTGTCTTTTATTTCTGAAGAATTGTTAAGTAGTTTATCTAAGGATAGGTTTCGTATTAAAATAATCTCAAGTAGGGAAATATTTAATATCAACGAGTATTGAATATCAATTTCAGATTATTGGCATTATGTACTATCGCTAGATTGTTGCTTTAATGAAATGATGTAGTTTCGGCATTAAATTACTTTTCTGATACCACCTTATTCACTAATAATTCTTTTATTCTTTAATATTTCCGACTATCAGATCTTCAATGTTTTGCAAAGATAACACTCGAAATACTACAACTGAATAGTTAACGTGGAACAAATTAAACTAGTAAAGGCGGTAAGATATAGGCACTGTGTTGGAATATAATCCCAAATTAGATAGGTTTATTTGCTATTACACAGAGTGATACAGTATTAATACCTGGATGACATTTCAAGCCCAATTTACTGCCCATAATCATATCAGTGTATTCACATGACCTCATAACTTGCTTTATTATATAGCCTTAGTCCCATCTGTTTTCTATTGTCATTACCTATATAACCGGTACATGCGTTGTGTCATTTCAGCTGTACGTGTGTGGTGTTGAATTGATAAATAAAAATTCAATGATTAATCTCTCCCTCTACCTAACTATACTAGATCTTAGTAACTTTACCCTTTCCCACCCCATTGTATGATTACCTGGAAGGGAATCCATTGCAATAACTTCCTCCTAGTGTATTTATCTCATTTTTTTTATTCCTTCACGTTCCCAGTGGAACATAGGGCTTCAAGCAAGTGGCTTGAAGTTTCTGTAGCAGTGTTTATTTTTACAGGATGAGGTTGCTAGCCTTATGCCCAACCTTTCCTCTTCACCAGCTTTTTCGATCTGGCTTAGCGAGGTAAAGGAGTGCGCCGGCCGGGGATCGAACCCCGAACCATGTGCATGGTCGGCGAGCGTCCTAACCGCTATGTCACCGACGCACATTTATCTCATAAGGACCAGTTAATCTAGATATAGGTAAATTCCTAAGTTCTGATAATCTAACTGACCCTGGTCTACTAGTATAACCTACGTAACTGACCTCAAGGTCATTTTATATGGCATTTTGTATATTATATTATTGTTCTATCGGGTTCTTAAGCCGACAAAGTTTGTCTTTGAGTGAGTTGGTTGGTTTAATTGCTGTCTGAATTCCAGCCTTATTCAGAATCTTACATTGGGCCTCTGATGTTCATTCTTTATACGGAGCCATTATTGGGAATTTGAATTGTCTATTATTTGCATCATTCTAATTCTTTATATTACTCCTCTTATTTTCATATGGGATCTCACCACATAACTATATTACTTTTTAATACTTTTACTCTATTCCACCTGAGTGTGTGGTCACACGACATTGAATGCATCGGAAAAGAAAGCTTGGCCATTGCCATTGCTTGAATGCGCAAAGCCATATGCTGGCTAGGAGTCAAATCCTAGTAGCAACCATGGGAGGGCTTCACGATATCGCTTCACTCTACAGGCTAACGAGTAAATTGAATAACAAATTTAAAAATAAATACTCACCGAGAGAAACAGAGAGGGTATGCAGGACTATAGTGACAAACGTATGGTAAATTTTCCCTACAATTAGATCAAAAAAATGCATGTTTTTACTAACAAACAGAAGAAATCATTTTTTTTTCAAGAGGATTGTTAAAGGTTAATGTAAAGATATCTTTTGATCAAACTGTACTTCCTTTGAAGTAAATCGAGAAGAAAGTTAGGTATTCTCTATGAATTCTGAGAATAAAAGTCTATATTTATGTGGAGCGTCAGTGTATGTCTTACAGCTACCTCACACAAACAACATCCTAATTTCTGTTAGAAAACCTAAACTCCATCAACACAAAAGTTATTTAACGGTGAGATAATAAGTATTGTGTAAAACATTGGAGTTTTACTTGTCAACTTATTGCGTCATCGCTGTCATTTTACCGAAAACATATGAGAAATTAGCAGCTTCTGTGATGAAACATTCTTTATAATGAAATATTTAAGTATATATATATATATATATATATATATATATATATATAATTTATTTTCTATTTTGATTACAGCTTGATGCCACACCGTATTTTCAGTACATGTATGGAACTTTCAGCATGAATATCGGTAGCCCAAATTTTGCAGGCCAACCATAGATATCGGGTGTGCGTCTGCATGGGATCGAACCCCGGACCATGTGCATGGTCGGCGAGAGTCCTAACCACTGTGCCACCGACGCACAGTATATATATATATACATATATATATATATATATATATATATATAAACTGCTAATGGGTACTAACGAGCAAGACACGGGTTCAAGATTCCTTCCTAAGTGTTTCTTTCTGCGTAACACTTGAACAAAAAAAAGAGGACAACTGACTGATATACACAACATAAGTGGAAAAAACATTAGATGAGTGAACAGATGCCATATTATTTTTATGTTATTCTTCTCAAGTTGGTTTGCAAACAGCAAAGAATGACACTGTATTATCAACTGGATGGTGATTCTAGCAAAATCTGTTGTTCATGATCTTATCAAGGTAATTATAATAACCTCGATGCCTGTTTTTGCAATTCTACAAATTCTGATTCGCATATTTGGATTGATGTTGGTATTGAATCATTATTATAGCATGTATTGAACGGTGGTTACATGAACAAATACTTAAATGCTAGTATATATTTTCACTTATATATATAGTGTGGTTGTGAATCAGCGGACGCATAACATTTTCCTACATATTTTTTTTCCTTCACGTTCCCCAGTGGAACATAGGGCTTCAAGCTAGTGGCTTGAAGTTTCTGTAGCAGTGTTTATTTTACAGGATGGGGTTGCTAGCCTCATTCCCAACCTTTCCTCTTCACCAGCATTATTTCTGGCTGAGTGAGGTAAAGGAGTGCGTCGGCCGGGGATCGAACTTCGGACTCTTACATATAACGCCCGAAAATACACAGTTTCACATTACAGAATGCAGTTTAGTCTCTTCAATCAAGGTCATTTCACAGGCCTTCATGATTTGTTAGTTGTCAAGTTTAGAATGACAGAACTGGTACAAGTTAGAATTGATGAGTCATGGAACTACATCACAAATGGCTCAGTGGTATACGACGTCGCGTTGCAACCTGAAGATCATGGGTTCGATCCCTGGTTAAGTCATGTATGTGCACTGCTGAAAAGTCTCGAACAAGGACTAAATAACTATCTAGTACTCCCTGGTTTTCGATGGTTCTCTAACCGAATTCAGTTCAGAATTATTCTTGGAATCAACCCGATCTTTGCAAACCGATCCTTGCAAACTTTCAACGCAGCATAACTAAACCTTTATCATTCCCTAGGAGTGTATGCACACACATAAATATATTATGAAAACAATTGGTACATACCATTGAAATGAAAGCTTCTTTTGAGAATAATGTTTACAACATGCCAAAATAAGCATGAAATAAGTATTAGAATAAGAAGTGAATTAACTTGTTTTAATACTGGTAAAGAACAGGTCAGCATTTCTTTAGTTAACGATTTCACAGATATTGAATTTTCTCCTAAGGTATCATCATAATCAATTATATCCATTTCTTCAATATCTCTATCCAAATGATGTTGATAAGGTCCAATATCCTCTTCTCCAACATCAACATCTTCATCCATGTACCAATCTTCTGATTCATCCATCATTTTTAACTTAATGAAATTAACATCACAGTATTAGAAATATCCGACTAAATGAAGAATGAAGAGATCTCCTGGACACAGATAGTTTCTTTTAATCAAATATGAATACTATATAGGGTCTAAAAACAAATACCAAAAAAAAGAGATTTAGTTTACTATAATTACTATCAGAGTAATTTATGAAAGTTAACAATACGATTAACGTAATCATTCCATCAGATTAAAAGTTTTATCACTACTTATCCTATTGCTACTTACCCTAAATTCTTTACATAGCAAGTCTTATTTTTCAGATTGTTCTGTTACACAAGAACGTCGGAGAACTTCAAGAAGCAGACAAAAGTGTCGAGACAGCGGATGGATTGCAACAGTGATAGTTAACGACTACTCGTCATGATGTCTTAAATACTCTACTGTTACGCACAAAAGTCGAAAAGAGATTTCAATTATATTCATTGAATCGATAGTATAGGATAAAAGACGATCGAAGTACTGATTGACTGAGCTCTTTCAACGTAGAACTTTGCACAGAAGGGCGGCGGTTCAAGACGCTACACTTCATGTACCGCACAGAGGTAGAGAAGAGAGAGAAAAAAGAAACTGAAGAGAACTATAATGAAGGAGGATTCAGCAGGAGAAACACATATACCAAATATAGCCTAACTTTCAAGTAAAATAAATTTGAAAAAACGACGAGACATATAAGAATCAACTAATAAGATTCAAAATTTACACTTCTTGAATATTTGATCTGTTTTTCGAATTTGACCACAGATTGATATCAGTTAGAGAACCATTGAAAACAAAGGAGTACAGGACAGCTGTTTCATCCTACTTTGAGACTCATCAACAATACGCACCCACTGGGTTTCAATCCTAGGACTTTCCGGTCACAAGGCATGCTCGTATACCATTTAGCCACTGGGACGCGATTCAATGGCCCATGGGTGTGTACTGCCGATGAGTCCTAAACTAGGATGAAACAGCGGTCCAGTACTCTCCGGTTTTCTTAAATATTGTTTAAAATGCGCTTGACTTTTTAATCAGCATTAGTTTTCGGATACTAAATGTAGACTAAACGTCAGATTGAGCAACAATCAACAATGTCATTTATATCAGGAAATCATATTGCTATTCATATATAAATGAAAGAATTAACGCTTATGCATTTGTGAGGAGGTGAGGTAGAAGTGTTTTCTGCATAAGTACGTGAAGGATAAAAAACAACAACCACAGTATTTCAGTAAACAAAATTTGTATTCCTGGAAAGTTTGAAGCAGCAACAAGTGGAAAAATTTCAACCAGTAGTTGAACAGAATACTTTAGTCGAATTGAATACTAAAGAGGATGATAAACTTGATGTGATATTTCAGGATATAAACTCTCTCACTGACAGAAAAAGAACAATGACAATGAATGATATGAATGTAGGCGATAAGATATTCATGTTGTAGTTTGAGTATGAGACACTTTGTGTCTATTATTCAAGGAATATCATAATCAAGATAATTCACTACCACACGTTTAAAGAGAAGTTGCTTCCATACTAACGTCAGAGGTAGTCAACATTTCAAACTACAGAGAACTGAAACCTTCTCTTGGTTTAAAGCTAGAATATAATCTGCGAATACCAATCGGTTCTGGTCCCTTCTTCAACTGATAATTTGAAAGGATTCTTGAATCATAAAGTCAGTAGGTTAGCAAGAGTATATGCTTCAGATTATGACTAAACTTCGATAATACAATCAAGTGATAGTATCCAGCTTCGTTTACATAAAATGGATGAATAAAGTATGTGTTTGATGAAATTTGAAATCATTAATAACACTAACAACTGAGTCCATTAATATCGCAAGTGTTAAGAGTGTCACATTGAATAGTATTACATTTGGCCCCAATTTAAGGTGCACAAAAAACGAAGCAACTTTGACTCAAACTTGCATTGACTAACAAGATTACTAATAATTCACAACTTTACCAGCCACTACACCTTTTATTTTTAACCACAATTCATTCACTGGATGACTGTACAAAGCTTCGAGGAATTCACTGAACTTTGAAACAAAATGAAGGTTAGTGAAACAAATGACAAGATCAAGGTTTCATTATTCCCTGTACGTCATATTCAAATAGTTTTGCCTGAAACTTAATTTATAAGATTTAATATTCTAGTTTTTAAACAATAATTGCCACTTGAATTTTATTGGTCAATTTGTCTAAATTAATGTATTTCTTTCCAGTGTCGTACAGATAATCTAAAAAGCTGTTGTTGACTGAACATAACTTTGTTTTCACAGTTTTGTACAGTTGTATTAATATATAATCTCAATGATGTAAGCACCGCTACACATCATTGTGGAAAAATACACAGTGAATCGTGGTTCATACAACTTCACTGTATGGCAAAATCAGTGACTTAAAGATTAATGCTGAACTGATGGAACTATATTTCAAATTTCAGAATACTTTGGCAACTTCTTCATTCCTAAAAAAATAATATATGATGCGTGTACACTACATATAGGCTCAGATGAATGTCATAATTTTTTCAAATTAATAATTTTATTCCATGATACTCCATCTAATAATCTGACTAGTCATTCTGACAATACATATGAATAATGGGGAAGAACGGCAGCTCAGGAGAGAAAAAGGAAGTTAATGGAAATACAATAATAAAAACAATAGTGCTTATTACACGAAAGCGTTAGCGAGGATACACGAATTGTTTACCATAACTACCGAATAAACTTGTTCTATTGTGACTAATTTCTGATTATATAAACGAGAATCGCCAGTCGATGATGTCGAACAACTCAAATATTCACTTTAAGCATCCTACATCTCTCCATATGACTGAAATTAATTAATATTGGAAGACTTCAAGTACATTCACCACTTTTTTGGTCTAACTACTTTAAACTTCCTGTAGCTTAATCCCACTTCATCAATGAATTTACGGCTCAAGTTGCATAACACATCTTTTCACTACAACAGTCGATGAAGATTCAGAGACTGATTGTTTGAATTCAACTACTCGAAACCATGTTTAGTCATAGTTATAGTATGAGGGCTGACGAACTATCGGGTTGTCCAGGCTGAAGTACGTGGATTAGGACTTGAACCAAAGACCTATTGGATGAAATTCGAGTTCTCAAGCTAATAAGCTATAAATCCACTATTGACTGAGTTAATTTCTTTGCCTGCCTATCCCCATCATCAACATTGTTCACTCTTTAACTATATGAAACCACTAATGACTGCTCATGATATCAGCTTTAAGGGTCATAATACTCAACACAAACTAACAATTTACTAAAATTTTTTATCAAAGACACTAATGAAAATAAGAAAAAAAAAGAGAATTTCAGCAAAAATATATTTATTTCCAAATATTGTTTACAAAATCATATTGATTAAGATTAGGATAATTTTGATCGTTGTAAAAATGATCTAGGAGACATCGGATTATTATTATTGGTATTCGAGTGTGTAGACATATACTGCAAAGATAAATAAATGACATCACAATTATTGTCATCCTTGCTGTTGTTATTAGTACTATTGTTACTAATGGTGTTAACATCAGGGACAATAACTGGGTTGTTACTATTTTCAACTTCATCTGTTTCTTGTGTACAATTCTTGGTAAATTTATCTATACTAGGTACTGTAGCTAGTACTAGTACCTTTTTCAAACTATTTGCAATGCGTAATTTAACTAATAACTGTGAATTAAGAAATACATCCTTTGGATTACACACTGTAACAATATGACTGCCATGATATAAGAGTGGATCACCTGTTAAGAATAATGAAAAAGCGAAAAAAAATGTATGAATTACAGAGATTAAATTTCCAGAATAACATATTAATTCAGTAGATGTATACTTACCTAGATTGGTTATAATTAGTTTAGGAAAATTAATCTGATGCTCACTAGCGACTGGTCCTATTCAGGCAGTTAACCTGGGGTTCTAGTGGGAAGCCGTGACCAGCAGGGTACAGAAGGTCGAAGATGAGGACAGTTACTCATCGAAGAAGACATTGAGAAGTGGTCGCTCTATGTTGTAAATTAGCAAAAGTTGGAATTTATGGGCAGGTCATTGGATCGGGTCCCAGTGGCTTAATGGTCTACGAGATCGCTAGCTAGCCTTGTAACCAGAAGGTCCTGAGTTCGAACCGTGTTGGTGGGTGCGTACTGATGAAGCGTCCCAAACTAGGACAACAAAAATAGCTGTTCAGTACTCCCTGCAGGTTTTCCAATGGTTCTCTAACTTATGTCAGCTTATGACGAAATCCTCCAACCAATCAAAAATAAGGAAGTCAAGAATATACAAACAAACATACGCAATATCGGTCGGTCGGTCGGTTTTCGACATATAACTTTGCAAATATGTGCGGCAGTTCAAGTCGCCACAATCCCTTCATGTAGCACACAAAGCAAGAGAAGAAAGTAGAAGAAATGCATAATATAGACAGTAAACAGAGGTGTGAGACAAAGGAATAGTAATAACGGAGAACAAAACAGTTGCATTGGAAATCATGAGTCACAAGGAGTGGATGCATCTGCGCCATTGAGAACGATTTTGAGCCATGTCACCAATTGTTTCCAACCATTGGTTTTTACCGTCCCGAGGACCCCAACCAGGAAGTCTACACCTTCCTACGTGGCTTAGACTAACTGTTGTGGATTTCATTGACTGGTGCCATGTTTTGGTTTGACCTCCGCTAGCTCTTTTCCAGCCTGACCCTATATCAGCTAACATTGCCCGTCGAGGAAGGCGATGACTAGGCATACGTAACACATGTCCTAACCATCTCAATCGATTTAATTTCACAGTTTTGTCGACTGATTTCCCCGCCTTACCTAGCACACATACGCAAGAACTCAGATTTTATTACTACTAACCCCTTATGAATTCTTTAGCACAGTAAATAAAAAAGAGAGAAAGAGACCTTACACTGCGGGACACAAAATATTGTGTCTGTTCATAAAAACATTAGCAGTAGCAAATCAATCATACCGTTTCAATCCAATACAATTTGTGATCTAAGTGGAACACATAGCTTCATGTTTAAAATTTCAGTAGTGGTGGTCATATTTTTATGGTGGAGGGTGGTAGGGTTGCCCAACCTTCCCTCTTTTCCGGACTAACTATCAGCTAGTAAACCAGGCGAGATTTATGAATGAGTCGGTTGGGAATCGAACCCTAAGATCACGTGCGTAGTTGACGAGCATTCTACCAGTGGACCACCCACACACAAAACCGGGTGCCAATGCTGGAGGACGAACCCAGATTGACTGCTTGATGGGCAGTCATGATAACCATTACTACAGTTTGAGATATACACTCTTCGAATAGTCTTTAGCTTCTCACTTTACATATGTTGTTTTCGAAGACAAAATGAAGATATTGTACGCAATTAAAGCTTACTTTATTTTAAAGAATACATCATGTGAATATATTGTTTATCAATAAAAATAACATCTTAGTTGAAAATTCTATACTATAAACAGAATTATTATCCAGAATAAAGCTTACACATATGCAATTTGTATAATCCTTTTAAAATATGAATACACATTTTCAGCTGGGTAGTTAGAAACACAAATCTACAATGGTAACTGTTTTCTTGATGAACTTTATTCAAACTGAAAGAAATCACTAGATGGAACACATCATACTTTTTAAAATCTTGGTACAAATGTATTTAAATGACTTACGTATTTGGATTTCAACCTATCGGTTTCAACTTTGAATCCCACTCGACCTACCTCAATTTGGACAGCTAAGTATCCCTCTCATAGAAGGTGTGGCTTATAACCTGGTACATAATGAATATGTCTCAGGTAGTAGAGTATCAGCTGACTAACTAATCAACACAGAATAGGGTGTACCCCTAGGGTATAAAGACAGAATCATTCTAAGGTTCTCATTGAGAAACTAATAGGACCTCTTTTTCTAAAAAAGACACAAATGCAAATACAAGCTAGTCAAGTAGTTCATACTGTTTGTACTGACTACCTTATGAACGAATTACAGTTAGACTGTTTACATAGAACTATATCAGAAACCTTTTTTAATGTTGGATTGTTAGAAGTAGTAGTTGGTGCAATGTAACAAGAGTGCCATCACTTCATTTTTGCCTACAAAAGATGAGTAGAAGCGCTTGATCACTGAAGTGTGAAGCTGAGATCTAATTTCTAAAAACCTCAATTAACAACTCTATAAACATGTATATATGTGTTTATGTATATATATATATATATATAACATGAGACTGGAAATAAAACTGATGAAATGGAAGAGGTTAAATGAGAAAAAGAACTCAGATTTACTCACCTTGATATACAAGAAAATCTCCACCCATTTTAGCACTAGATGTACTAATATAATAACCTTTATCCCATAAATCATTATATACAAAGCAACACTGTAAACGCTGTGTAAGTGAAGTTCCTGCAATGCAACCATTAACATCCTTATCAGAGCCATCAAGTGATTTACATTGTTGTTGTTGTTGAATTAACTGAGTCAACCAAAGAACAACTAAAAAGTTACAAAAACAACAACATAAAATTACTCACAGTTTTCATTAAGTTTGATCACTGATTGATATCAGTTAGAAGACTATGGAGAAACAGAGAGTACTGGATAGCTGTTTCGTCCTAATTTGGGACTCTTCATCAGTACGCATCTATGACTCCAACGACAAGGATCGAACCTAAGACCTTCAGGTTACGAGGTGAGCTCATTGACCATTCAGCCACTAGGACAGAATCCAGCAATGACCCATGAACTCTAACTTCTAACAATTCGTGATTTTTTTTCATTAAATCGATAAAGGTGATGGGAACATGAGTAGACTAGGAAGAAAAAGCGAAGTATCCCAACATTGGATAAAGTTTGGTTCATGAAACATTTTTTTCAGGTAAAGTAACTATGGAATTATGGGAATAAGGACCACACACATGCAAACACATTCTGTCGCATAATGAATCGCTTCTCCTCCGGTAATATGTTAAATATTTTTAGATTCACTGTAAATCTTATCAATCAAAGATATCAGTTAGAAAATCATTGAAAACCATGGAGCATTGGACAGAAGGGATAATTCATCAATGCGTGTCAACGTCCTCAGGACATTCAGATTACGGGACGAACCCTTTGATCTATTCAACTAAATAGTTTGAATCTAAAAGTCTTCGATTTCTAACTTAGAAGTAATAAGCTTATCTACCAAGTTCTCAACATTTTAAATAAATTAACCCTTTTAGCACTCCTAGAAAGTTTTGAAAACCATTTTATTTTGGTTCAGTTGTCAACTATTTATCGTCGAAATGGAGTTTTTAAGGATGTTATTATCACTGCATAAATCACAGAAGTCTAAGGTAAGTATATAAAAAAAATAACAGACAAAGATATTATCACGATCCTTCCAAATTGAATAATTCATTGTGTTGAAATATGGACATATTATACATCTTTTTTTTTTAACTGATAACAATGTCATACATCAAATAACCTAGGGAAGTGAAATTGGAAATCATTCATAATTTTACATAAATGTTTTGAAACTTGCCAATACCAATTAAAATCCTAGATAAAGTCAAGTCGAAATCGACAGTACGGAGACTAAATACTATCGTCAAGTTATCTAATTATCCTACTACTTGTTTTACAATTCTATTACTTTTCAAGTATTGGTTTTGTGGAGATTTCCTTGGTTAAACGATTTCATCACGAGCTGAAATCACTTAGAGAACCATTGGAAAACCTGGGAGAACTCGACAGTGGTTTCTGTTGTCCTAGTTTGGGACTCTTCAGCAGTACGCACCCACCAACACGGTTCGAACCCAGTACCTTCTGGTTACAAGGCGAGGTCGCAGACCAATCAGCCACTGGTACCCAATCCAACGGCAAGCATATGAATTCCAACTTTTGCTAATTCACAATAAAGCGCGACCACTTCTCAATGTCTTCTTCGATGAGAAACTGTCCTCATCTTCGACCTGCTATATCCTGCTGGTCACGGATTGCAACTGGAACCCCAGGCAACTGCCTGAATAGGACGAGTCGCTAGTGAGTATCAGATCAATTTTCAAGCATTGGTTTCGTAGGGATTTTCTTTGACTGGTTGGACGATTTCATCATGAGCTGACATCAGCGATGAGTTAACCATAGCAAAATAATGCTTCTAACTATTCTAACAGGATGTTATTTCGGACTTACTATAAGAAGAGGTGTGAGTTGTTATCTGTCTTTCACATTTTGAAATAATATCAAGTAAACCTATAGTTTACCACGTTCAAAGGAGAAAAACTAGAACACGTCGGTATATATACGTGTACATCGCTAAAGAATTCAGTTCCAAACTAGTGGAAGAACCATGCGATGTTTAGATCATATTGATCTGGCTAGCAAGTTCTACTGGTTGACGTGATTAGTTCCTAACTACTTGTACTAATCAATAGCAGATTCAGTTTTGAGTGTGCTCGCTTTTCTGATGACATTTATGCCATCAAGCTGCCACTTATTGTCATTTGCACATTTTAGATTGCGAATTTTGTGAAGTTTGCAAGTGACAAATCTCATTAACTTGGGAAATGGCTAGAGGTGGTTAGACTAAAGCATAGCACGAGTTCATCAAATTGCTGACTGTTATGAGCCACGTAGGGAATTGTAGGGTGCCTTAACTGAACTGAAGTATCAGAGGAGAACTTTGCAAAAGAGTGCAATAGTTCAAGTTGTTACTATTCATAAAGGCAACGAACGGTAACGGTAGAGAAATGAAATGCAATGAAACTGAAATAAAGAAAACTCTATGAGATAAGGGGTACTTACCTAAAGAACAATGAGGATTTTCAGTAAATACATGTGAGTGATCGAAAACAGTTTTGAGCTGTGTGACCAACAGTATTCAACCGTGATTCTTAGAATACAGAGGACTCAAGTCAGACGGTCTACACCATCGTATGTGGATCGAACCAAAGGGCAAATGCTTGGGTCCTCCTGATGCTATAGATCAATGGTTGGAGACTGTGCGTGATATGGCTTGTAATACCCGACTCTCAGATAGTGACAATGTTCACTAGTCTTAATTTAATCAATCTCTCCCCTGTACACCTTTGTGCATTTTAGTTTCATTCGGTTTGCTTTGTCTACGCTTACGGCTAATTCGTCAAAGTTAGGAAACACGAACTGACTCACTTTTCTGCAAAGTTCTACGTTTGCAAGTGAGTCAGTTAGCAGAGTTAGTGAACTAAAAAATTATATTACAAATAATTAAAGATTTCCAGACCAAACCCGTCTACTACTTTTGATTATTTTTTATGGATATGATTAACTGTTAGACAAATGCCCTCAATAGCAATATAAGTAATTCCTGAAGCCTGGTTACACAAAATATTGACTTACCTGAATAAAGATCTTCAGACATTACAGTTTCTGGTAAACTAACAAAAACATATTCACCAGGACGTCTCCATTCAACAGGGGTAGGACGCGGTAAGTGTTGTGGTATATGAGGTAGAGATTCTTCAAGTTTCTCATTCAATATCACAGATGACTTTGATGCTCCTTGATGTGTAGTTTGTTCAGAAATTATATCATCTAAAGTAATTGGTGAATCAGTCATTTCAGGAGAGTCTTGATTATCATTGTACCAATCATATTCATCATCGTTGTCATCATCATTAACATTAAAGTGAATCGAAGAGTCCATCATGTTCCTTTTCTTTTTTAACTGTTTCTGTAACATACGTCGCTCATAACGTCGTTTACGAGTGGATAACTTTGAAGGAGCTGAAATAATCAGTAAAAACATGAATAACAAAGTTTTAGATGAATTACATTTTCATATTAATGGTGTGTGGGTTGACAAAAAACGCACCAAACTTTTATTTTAAACAAATAAACTCAAAATAATTTTTAATATGTACGAATACGTCGGTGTTTATTAACCCTAGTAGCTGTTTATTGCTAAGTGTATTGCTGCACACTTGTCTGCACATCAGGTTCACACTTTTCACCATTTTACACGTGATATATGATCTAAAAAGCTACAGTTTATCACAAGGGATAGCAAAGTTGTGTCATTAAGATTACTGACCCTATTACACAGGTGTTTGAGAGACTACGATCAACAAACTTAGGGCTAAACAACTAAATTCTTTTGATATCTGTTGGCTAATTCGTATGCTTCTTCAAATCGACGCTCATTTGTGATTGAAACGACTTGATCACAAATGTATTAATTCAGGATTAACTTGCAAATACATTTTTCGCTGAAGACAACCAAGCATGAAACCTTATTGTAGAGTTTACTAGCGATCAACCCTTTCTACCACCTAATTTTCAACTGTATCAACTACTTTTTATAAGGATCAGCTTCATACATTGTGACAGAGCTAAAAGATTGACATCGCCAAAGAACTTTCATGCATTCGAATTCACCATTCACCTCCAATTACTTTCCACCCTTTCAGTAATAAGGAATTTCAACCTTTTCTCACTTACTCAATACCTTGCTTTCCTTTATACAATACAGCATTTCACTGTATCAATTATTTTTTTGATTGTGGTTAGACATTTTATTCATTTTTCCATATCTAAAACTTTCAACAATCTGTTTTTAACATAACAGTCACCTATTCATTAATTAACTGTATTGATTAAAACTAGTGACTGAGTATTGGGTGAAGTTGTCTGAAGTTCGAATGAGAAGTCTTGACCGGCGGCGTTCATCAAGTTGGGTATGAGCACATATTTTTTTATTCCTTCACGTTATCAGTGGAACATAGGGCTTCAAGCTAGAGGCTTGAAGTTTCTGTAGCAGTGTTTATTTTTACAGGATGGAGTTGCTAGTTCCATGCCCAACCTTTCCTCTTTACCAGATTTATTTCTGGTAAAGAAGTGCATCGGCCGGGGATCGAACCCCGGAACATGTGCATGGTTGGCGAGCATCCTAACAGCTGTGCCACCGACGCACATGAGCACAGATATTTGTTGATAATATTGGTTGGCGGTCTCACTATGAATCACATTTGAATTCATGGGCTGTTGTAATCCGTCCCAGTGGATAATTAGTCCACGGGATCACCTAGTACCCTGAAGATGCTACTGGTACCATGACTGTGTGCTGCCAAGGAGTTCAGAAACAGAAAGAAACATTCGTCCAGTACTCACTGATTTTCAATGGTTCTCGGACTTAGGTCAGTTCCCCATCAAACTTGAAATATAACTTTGACGCGTGTAATTCAGGTATGAAGTGTGCGAACACAATAAAAAATACTCACGACTTGTAGTTGTACACTTTACTACCATACATTAGAGGTGAAGTCATCGAAAGTTCAAAAAGGCGACAGTCAAGCAATTCACTGCACTGACTTAGATGGATGAGTAAACTTTAGGCATAAATAAATGTTTTATATGATAGAAGTTAAATTAGAATAGGATACACATACAGAGTATGTTGACTTTTATCATTCGTGGACTTCAGTTGCATTTTAACTACAGTTTGAAATTAGGCAAATGTACAGTAGATCTTACTATTTATATCTAAGACAACTTTCCTAAAAAAGCTTCAGGAGTTTCCAAAGGAGAGTACTAACCCGTATAACAAAGTATGCTCGCGAAGTAGTCAAGCAACATCTATTTGAAACCACAGTTATGGAAATGAAACAGATAAGCCAAATCAATATTCCAGGCTGAAGAAAGATTTCCTCCACTGACATTACATCCGATTACATTAAATAAGACATTTAAACGACTAGTTTACTTGTTGTTTTATAAACCAGTAGACATATGACAGAAAATAGTATTAAGTCATTTCTGTATGTGTAATCCAGGAAATGCTGAACCTGCGTTTCGTACTTTTTACCAGTCGGAATAACTGATGCCTCCTCAAGGTTTCAAACTTATGGTATTAGAATAAAACCCAACATATTAAGCTACATTATGATGGGTGAGTTGTACATATATTTCTTAGTAGAGATAAAGAATCTTAAGGTTTCAACCAGATATAGTATATAGTACAAACTACTTAGTCAATATACTGTTAGAAGTCATTCATAGTAACCATGTTGCCTATATATATATATATATATATATATATATATATATATATATATATATGTATATATCATTAATGTAATCAGCAGCAATTAAGAGTATAACAAAAATATCCATAGCTTGCGAAAACAAATTCAGTTTTACAAATTATACTACTTTGAGTAGTATACAGGAGACTAACAACTTCCAACATTCGGTTACATCATTGAAAAATAAACAAACACACAGATAGGAGGCATTACAGTGACTATTACAAAGCTAATTTACCAAAACAAAACGTCTCCCACTTACATAATTGCGATTTGTAAATATTTTTTGTATCATCTGTACAGGGCATTATTCCACTGGATACTTCTGTATTACATGTTTGAGCCATGAGTTTACGTTGCTGACGTAATTTCATACCATTCACCAGTTGTCCATAATGACCGACTAATTTTAATCGTCTTTGAGTTTTAAATATACCAATCTTGAGATGCAAATAACACAAAGAAGTAGGAGTATTAATATTTAACAAGACGGTGAACAACTTGAAAGCAACACATGAATTTACTTGAAGCAATGTGCCAGTCTGGTACGTCGATGAGTTGGTTAACGGTAGAATGTTAGTCAGCCATGCAGGTGGTTCAGATTAGATTGCCGGTCAGCCCACCCCTCAACCTCACCTAATTTATCGGCCGGTAATACGCTCAGAAAGGAGCGAAGGTTAGGCAACCCCACTCTTCATAAAAACAACACTGAGACTGAAACCTTTAAACTTTGTGTTCCACTCGGTAAGCACGCACAGGAATAAGTCAACAAACAAAAGTGCGCCTACCTTGGTGTTCGGTTTTTATAAACTGTCATGTAATAAAACAATGAGCAATTAATACAATGAAATCTTAAATAGAACTTAGAATGTGTTTAACAGAGCTTCATTGCTAACATGCAGTCAATAACAGTTATTATCGATACAATCTAAACAATTAGTTTGAGATAAAAGGTAGATTACAGTTACGATATGGAATAGAATTATTTAAAAACTTTGTACATTTTGGTTCGCATGCATTTTTGCTGTAATTTGTTATCACTTTAACAACCATCACCAAAGAACATGAATTACAAATAACTTTTTCCTTATTATTGAAGTTCTTCAAGTGATATACACACATATCGATTTCTTAAGTGATGAGTTAAGAATTCTCAGGTGTAACATGCTAGAATCACCTGAGTGCAGCTTTAGTAACTGATATTTCGTGAATAATTTAGTCGACGATATAAACAGACCTGGAATTTTAGATTTTTTCGCATCAAATCGTCTTTTATGATAGTCACTACTTTTATTCTTATTTGATTTTGTCTGCCAGTTACCTAAGTCAAGCACATTTCAAGTGAAACTGGATACTTAGTAATTGGTTTAAAGTTTCATCACGGATTGGTATCAGTTAGGGAACCACTGAAAACCAGCTGGAGTACTGGACATCTGTTTCATCCTAGTTTTTAGCTTATCAGCAGTACGGATCCAGGACCTTCAGGGTACGAGGAGAGCTAATTGGTCATTCAACAAGTGGCCCATGAATTCCAACTTCTGTCCATTTACGATTCTTAGCGCCACTGCCAAAAAGTCTCAGCTACTACTACTCCATGGCTTTCAATGGTTCTTCAACTAATATTAATCCGTGATCGAACTTGAGACCAATCAAATCATTACAAACTAACACTTGAAAACTTCCAAACTGCTTCTGTTATTTAAATCGGAGATATGTAACCTCGATTAAGAATGGTTTCCATTAATTCTAAACAATGGTCTAAAAGTATAGCTACAGAAGACACTCATAAACTTACTATCTAAGAATATATTGCAAAATTGGTGAAGTTATCTTTTAATACATGATTATTGATTCAAAACAACTTTATAGCCTTACTACAACACAATACTTCATAACTTCAACTGAAATCAGATTAGCTACCAATAAAAACACTGAATGATTAAACCAAGAGATTAATCGTTAGGAAACTCTAAAGTTAATAATATAACTCGTTTATATATCTTAGTAGTTTATCAACCACATTCATTCTTGAAATATCAGTCATTGACATCATTTACATTTACTGTAAATGTAAATCATTCGCCACTGGTTATTCACTAAATTATCATATTGTGGATTACTAGAAAATGTGAAGTATTTTGATGACAAAGGGGAACAGAGAGAAGAGTTGAAATTTTGCGTTTGTTCTATTGATTATCGAAAGAAATACGTCGCTGAGACACTGACGATCCAAAAACTCAACCGCACGCTATGTGGTCAAAAGAAATACGCCCAACCGTTGCCCCTACTGTGGCTATCATGAAAAGTCAGTCCCATTAATAATGATTATCTTATTACCTTACTTATCCAACCTTCCTGTTTATTTCTGTTATTTTTACGTTTTAAATTCCTATCTGCATTACCACATTTGGTTGCCATTTTTTATTTTTAAATACGTCTGCGATACCTACCTATTTTGTTATTACTACGTCCGTAATCCGTAATTTGTACAAGCAGTCAAGTTTTTCAGTAATTGTGATCTTCTTATGTCTTCATTACACTTTGTAATTTTATCAATCTGACCGTTGACCTGAAATATTTCTAGAATAGTACTACTATCTATCTATCTTACTATGTTCTGGATCCGATCTTCCTCTTTATTATACATTGTAATTTTATTAATTAATCTAACCTTTGGAAAACCTGGGAGTACTGGACAGCCATTTCGTCGGCCTAGTTTAAGACTCTTCATCAGCACGCACCCACCGCCAAGGTTCAAACCCAGTACCTTCCGGTTACAAGGCAAGCTCGTGGACCATTAGGCCACTGCGACCCAATCCAGTGGGAAGCCGTGACAAGTAGGATACAGCAAGTTGGAGGTGAGGACAGTTACTCATCGAAGAAGACATTGAAAAGTGGTCGCGCTGTGTCGTGAATTGGCAGAAGTTAGAATTCATGGACTGGCTGTCGAATAGGGTCCCACTGGCTTAATGGTCTACTAGCTAGCTCGCCTTGCAACCAGAAGGTGCTGGGTTCGAACGCTGTTGGTGGGTGTGTACTGATGAAAAGTCCCAAACTGGGACGAAACAGCTGTCCAGTACTCCCAGGTTTTCCAATGGTTCTCTAACCCATGTCAACTCACGATGAAATCCTCCAACCAATCTAAAAAGAATCCCTACAAACCAATACTTGATAATTTAGCCTTTGACCGGAAACAATTCTGGAACTTTCTCATACACTTACTATAAATACACGAATGTGCAGCCTAGTTGATGACTTAGTCGGAAAGAAAATTTTCTTAGCTGTAACCGTCTTTTTAATAATTCCTAGGATCCAGTGTGCATATTCCATGATTATCACCTTCAAATAAACTATCAAAAGCTAACTGATCTTTCATATATTAAGTTTTTCTTTTGATATTCCAAGTGGAGCATAGGGCTTCGAATTTTCACGTTTCAGTAACGATAGTGATGTTGTTTTTACGGAGTGGAGTTACTGGTCTCACACGCCCAACCTTTCCTCTTTTCTGAACTAACTATTGACTAGTAAGCTAGACGAGTTAAAGGAGTGCATCGGCCGGGAATCGAACCCCGAACTACTTGCATAGACTGGCAAGCATTCTACCACTGAACCCCTTGATGCACCATTATGATTAACCATTGAAATGAATAGGCAATTAAACTTTTCTATCAACCCCATTTGTTTTCTTTCTACAAGCTACTGAATGAATCCATGCAATTGTACACCATTTACAGAACTGAATATACATTTGTTATTGACGAAAATGAAATATCCACTGTTCAAGCAGTACGTTGAAATGTTTGGGTTTAAAAATATCTTTATGAATAAGTGTTGTAAATAAAGGATAACATTAAAACTATAAAAATAAACACATTTCACATCCGAATGACAAATGGTCAAAAATTCCTGAAATATAACCAACCAGATTATCTTATCTAAATCTATATTACATAAGTTTATCTGATATAAAACAGAGTGATATAGTATTAATAACTAGATAAAGTTTAGAGCATAATTTGTTGTTCATAATCATATCAGGGTATTCACAGAAGTTGATAATTTCGTTTATATGGCCTTACTCTCTTCTGTTTTTTTCCTTTATTGCAATCTTCCATATTTCGGAGATGGGTGTAGCGTTATTTCAACCACAGGTGTTTGGTGTTGATTCTATGAGAGAGGTTAATCACAAAATCTTTGTTCATTGATATGACTTAGAGCAATAAATTGTACTCGAAACGTTATCCAGCTGTTAATACTGTATTTTTTTTCCTTCACGTTCCCCAGTGGAACATAGGGCCTCAAGCTAGTGGCTTGAAGTTTCTGTAGCAGTGTTTATTTTACAGGATGAGGTTGCTAGCCTCATGCCCAACCTTTCCTCTTCACCAGCATTATTTCTGGCTTAGCGAGGTAAAGGAGTGCGTCGGCCAGGGATCGAACTCCGGACCATGTGCATGATCGGCGAGCGTCCTAACCGCTATGCCACCGACGCGTTAATACTGTATTACTAAGCATTATTTATCAAATAAACTTATCTAATATGGAATCACATTCTACCACAGTGCCCGAATTCTACTCTTACATGAATAATTCATTGTATCACCCAGTTGTTACCTCTAGTGACTAGTTTTAACAGTTTGAGCAAGTTTTTGTCATAAGTTGTGGCCGACGGCTTTCATCATGTAGGATATGAAAACACTTATGCACGAGTAATAATGAACATCTCTGAAGCCATGTCATAAGTTAATAATTGAGATTAAAAACTGTAGGTTATTGGATTCCAACCCAAAAGCTTCTTCGGTGGTAATAAGCTATCTTAGAAATCTAACTGTTATGAACCCAATCCGATACAAGTTTACCATTGTGTAGCGATTAAGAGACCCAAACCAGAGAGAAACACCTGTGAACTACATCTCAGCTTTTCAAGTGAATGAAAATAGTAAGCGCTATTCAAAGCTCACTATCTATCTGTTTAGATAAATCACAGTTATTCAAAAATTAACAGCCAATTATGAAAAATACATAATGCAAATAATATCATAAATGCTTATTATTTCAAGGAAGAAAAAAAATCAAAGAGAGATGAAAAACGATAGTCATGAACAATACCATTTCTTCAGCATTCTTCAAAAGAGCATTATTATATTCTTTGATAGTTTCCTCTGATGGTTTAGCCACAGATAATACTGGTCTACTACACAACAGACCATTGATAAAACCTTTAGAGAGTAATAAGACAACTTCTTCAAAATTTAAACGAACTGGTAATCGATCTGGTTTCTTTGTTTGATTATGAAGCTTTTTACATGATTCTACGGCATATGAAGCACGACCAATAATTCTGTAAGTACGACGCAACCAGAGTACAGCTTTATTAAAAATCAAAATGAGACAACAGAAATAAGCAACAATAGATGACAGATTTCAACACTATAAATAGCACTAAAAAATACCATGAGAATGCAAATATTATATAAACAGTTACCCTAGTTACATATAAAGGGAACTGAGAATATATAATGAATCAATAAAAATGTAACAAATGAAGACATCATCTACCGACATATAAACGGCTAGAAATACAACCATAAAATACACTATATCCTCCTTATTTCTATTATGAATTGATCAACTGACTGATTGACTAACTGGTTTCAACGTAGAACTTCGCACAGATGTGCGGCAGTTCGAGTTGCCACACTCCCTTATTGTAGCACACAAAGCAAGAGAACAGAGTAAAGAGACATTCAAAAAAGAGATAATAAACAGAAATATAAGGCAAAAAGAGTTTTACTGGATATTATAAATCACAGAGTGATTGCATCTGCGCCAACCATTGAAAACGACTATGAGCCATATCACCAGCTTCTCAGCCATCATTGGTTCTTACCATCCGGAGGACCCCAAACAGGAAGCCAGTCTACACCTCCCTACATGGCTGGCCTAAACTAACTGTTGTGGATTTCAATGACCGATTAAGTCATGTTTTGGTGTGACCCTTTAGTCGATAGCCAGCCGCATATCACGTCTACGTCATAGATGGAATAAGTTGGCATATGCCAAACGAGCCTTCTGTATTTGTGCTGAGATTTCGTCAGCGATCAACCCACTGGCACTGGCAGATGCAACTTCCCAAAAAGGTGAAGTAGTTAACAGGCTCTACCACTTCACTCCCTATTTTTACGTTAGGAGTTAATGTAGTCCAGTCCTATAGCATCATCTTACATTTGGCGGGAGAGAATCACATGCCAAACATTCGAAGACTGATGCTCCTCAAGATGTTCAGAAAACTCTGTATTTTATCAGCGTCTTCACCTAAAAGGACTGTATCATCTGCATATTCTAAGTCAACAAGATTATTCCCTGGTGACAATTCAATTCCCGTGTCGCTGAAGTAAGTATTTAGGGTTAATTCCATTAGTACATCTATGATGAAATTAAACAGAAATGGGGACAGTGGGCATCCCTGACGGACACTGCTGGTTGATCAACACTCATTCACTATGGTTGCCTTACATTTCAATGCGAATGTCGTCAAGAATCAACACTAGTAAGAGATCATTGGGAGCCAAGGAGCACTGGACAGCTATTTTCTCCAGGTTTGGGTCTCTTCAGCGGTGCGAACACACGGCTCCATTAAGGATCGAACCTGGGACCTTCAGGTTACGAGGCCAGGCTTTTTGACCATTCAATCATTCGGGCTGGAGTTCAATGAACCATGGATTCTTATTTCTGTCAATTTATGACAAAGAGCTAACCTCAACCAATCAATGTCTTCCACAAGCATCCACTTCACCCTGACGTGGTGGAACCCACTAGTGCGAACTTCTCAGTGCAGCATTTGGACATCCATTCAGCAGTCATCAATGAGCTGAAGATTTATATTTAGATTATGGGATTTTGTATTTGGATTAATTTCAATAATCTTTAACTGGTGTTCGTAAGTGACGCAGTCTGCATTGAAATTAGTCCTAATCCCCACAAAAACCCATAATCCAGCCTTTTGTTGATTTTTATTTTACTACTTACTACTTTTTAATTAAATGAGAAATAATCACACACATATTGTTTCTCCGAAAAAACAAAAAGTTAAATACAAAATACATTTCAGAAATACAATAAAAAAGTTAATTAAATAACGAGTTTTACATAAGCGAAAGAAAACAATATATATATATATATGTCCAAATGCAAACAAACGTTAGATATAAGCATAAGTTAGAATTGATATTGCTTTGAAGCGGCGTCTTGTGAAAAACTAAATCATTAGTGATCAGTATACAATGGTCACGATAACTAAGAAAACGGCGAGATTGAAACACACACAAGCATGCATGCATATATGTATATATATATATATATATAACGAATATTGGATTATTTTTGTTTTTGAATGGCACAGAAACGCATGTATGTTTTTTTTAAAAACTTTTCATAGGGCACACCCATGTGGAAAAGCAAAACGCTGATTTCATCAAATCATAATGAAGCACTATATGTTTGAATTAATTTCATAAAGAATTATCAAGGTGACCCACAGGGGAATTCCAGAACATCTTTAGGATTCTCATTCAAAGCCAAGGTAATGACTTAATCTCAGCGGAAACAATAACGTGAACTGCTGAATATATATATATATGCTTTGTCAGTGATTAAGCTCATAAAAAACCATTTATGTCACCAAAAATACTTACATTCATTCCAAAGTTATCAACATGGAACTAGTAAGCTAATTAATCGATTCCGCTACATTTAACCAACTTTAGACTTCCATATAATGCATCATCAGCACTCAAAAAATAGTTGAAGTTCATCAACAAATGAACGAAAGTACGATGTTAAATATACATCGAAACTCTATTTTTATATTTTTTTATCTTCCTTCCCATAAGGGTAGTAGACGAAAGAGATTGATAACAGAAGCTGTATTTATTTAGTCAAGCAAGAATATCTGCAGTAGGAATGATCCAACACCTGTCCCGGACACCTGGATTATAATACCTTCATGACAAATATGAAGGAACAACGACAACCACCAAAATCGAGTTTGAAAGTTGTGTAGTTACAACTGGTATGATTATGAACGACAAGTGTGTATTCGAAATGCTATCCAACAAATGTTATTTCATTTTTTTTATTTTGGTTATAGCTTGAAACCACACAGTATTTTTGGTACAAGTATGGAATTTTCAGCATGTGATATCGGTAGCCCAAATTTTGCAGGCCGACCAGAGATATCAGGTGTGCGTCGGCAGGGGATCGAACCTCGGATCATGTGCATGGTCGGCGAGCATCCTAACCACTGTGCCACTGAAATATTCAGTTAAGAAATTAATGTAGAATTACATACTACCATAGTATCTAAGTGTTGTACATACACAAAGACTGGAAACCATTTGAACACTGCTCCTAGGAAAAAGAAAATGGTTACTTCCGACAATAACTGCCTTATTCACAAATGCTATACCAGCTAGAAGACAAAAATAGAAACTAAACCCCAATAAAAAGGGATAAATTCTGGAGAAATGAGTATTGATCAACCTTAATTACTTAATCAGTTAGCATGAGTCGATCGATAAGTCAGTCATGATATGAACAGGGAAATCTGGTATCATACCGACTGACACTATCTGATATTTGTAATCAAACTATGATGTCTCATAAATCACACTAATATCATAATAATAATCACAGTGTTTACACAATAGACAGAATTTTGGACGGAGTTTATTGCATGATCTTTTCGCTTCTTCCGGGATCTTCAAATAAAATATCAATTGACAGTAGATCCAGTGAAACAGCTGTACATCCTCCGGAGTGCAAACAAATTCATTATGCTTTCTCTTCTTTGTCTCTTTCGAGAAATTTACGACATTTGATTGAATGCCAGTTACAAAACGTTTAGGAGTACATTTTGTGAACCAAGGACACAACCCAATAACACTTATCTCGTGTATTGGGATAAGCTTCCATCCAGGATGATGGTTTTTCTTAAGTTTAGTAGAAACTTGCGAATGAGAAGGTTTTAAATACTAGCCAGATGAAATAATTCTATTAGAAATCATGTTTTACTAGATTTAAACATAGAATAGAAATTATGGGTAATATATAGATGGAGGTTTTAGGTAGCCAAAGTTTTAAGCAAGCCATCGACTTATTTTAGAAACCTCACTAGATATTCGGTATATAGATTTTTATCAATTAGATAGTTATTGTGATTATAATTTACATATCATTGCATTTGCAGAATAACACGATTTTTTAGAAAGTTTATAATTCAAAATCTACACTCTAAAGATAATTATACCTAAGATAGTCTTCATTACTAATCGGTCAAAATGTAGAAATTCGACGGCTGTTATGCGTCGGTGGTACAGCGGTAGAATGCTCATCAACCATGCAGGTGGTTTGGGGGTTCGATCCTCGGCCAGCGCACTCCTTTACCTCGCTAAGCTACTAAAAATGACAGGTGAAGAGGGAAGGTTCGGCATGAGGCTAGCAACCCCATCCCGTAAAAATAAATTCCCCCTAGCTTGAAGCCCTATGTTCCACTGGGAACGTAAAGGAATAAAATGAATAATAATAATGATAATTATGCTTTCATTTAAAGAATGAATGTTGTTCAACAAACAGTTGAGATTCCATGCATTTGACAATGAGCCACATCTGTTGTGTGAGAGCTAGTGATACTACCTGACTACCTAAACCTCCATAGGTGAAGTGGGATTCGAACTTGTGACTCACTGGTTGGAGGTTGAGTGCGTAGACCAATGAACTACAGCTCCACATTTAAGGAATAAAAATATCATGATATATATAACTGACTAACAGGATTAAAAATATTTATTTATTATTCAGGTAAACAGTAAAAGTTCACTAACCTTCAGCAGACCATACGAGAAATTCACCAAATGGAGTTAAGTTTATACATTCCGAATAATTTGGTATTGAATCTTTACTGGATAATGAATTTGACTGAGAATATAATGAAGAAAAATGGAAAAATATTTAGTTATTTAAGATAAATAACAAAATGTTATTTGATCAGGATCAATATGTAGGCTTAATTAGTGAAATTATTAACGATCAGAAAACTGGTTTAGACTAATATAAATGAGCGTCTTTTTTACATGTTATGTATGTTATGACATAACTTCTTCATAGGCGCTGGAAAACTCATTATCTAAGTTATTATAGTTATGGAGAATGAACAAAATATATTTAACAGTGATAACACCAGCTTTAATTACATCTGATTTCAGCACAATTCAATTCATGATATTCTCCAATAACATACTTCAAAGCTTTAGAAACACACTTTTTTAACTGAGCAGGTGTTTATCAGTAGACCCTTTAGAGGATGTATCTTCAAATTCCCAGGTAATAATCAAAGAGCTGTCAATGAAATTGTCGTTGATCTTTGCAAAATGAACAATTCTTAAGATATTGACAAACCATTTATATTTATAATTTTTAAAGGTGTAAAAGTACCCTATCATGATGTAGGTCATTTATATTCTGTCCTTTAATAAGTGTTTATCAAATAAACTAAACTCTATGTAAGTAAGTTGAAACCTACAAAGTTTTTGTTTTTTGCCAATTAATTACCAATTAGGTCTCATGTAGTGTTTCTATTAATGTTATCGTCCATCAGCAGGAACATTATTCACACAGGGAAGATACCTACTGATGAGAGTATAATTCAATCTTCAAAATAAATCAGCAGTGGTAAAATAGGGCGAAATTGTTTGTTTTAAATTCATGTCTCCAAATTCTGTGAAATTAATCTTTTACTTCCTTTGCGTTTCAAGTGGAACATATGGCTTTGATTCAGGCTTTGAGGTCTTAGTAGCAGTGGTGTATTTTTTTGCAGGGTGGGGTTGCTAGCCTCCCACTATACCTTATCTCTTTACCAGACTTACTACTAGCTGAGTAAGGCTAACGAGTGCGTCTACAGGGGGGGGGGTCGAACCCTACAACATGTGTGTGATTGGCGAGTATTCTACCAGTGAACCACCGACGCACTGTGTTATTACTTTTCCTCTAAGTTATTTATATACTGAGTCCCTTCAACTAACATACACACACACAATGCACAGACGTTACTCCTTACATTCATGCATACAAGTTGATGAAAACCTACATAATCGCTAAAAACCTCAATGGATGATATATATCTTCATTCTATGTACTTCTTGATGTTTCCTATGATTCATAGGGGAATTCCAGAATCACTGATATTACCACAAAACTTCAAACCTAATGAGACTAAACAGAGGTTTTTAAAACCATGACAGTAGATATGAATAACAAGTCTAACTTTAAGCCTAGATTTACAGCTCAGTAATATTTGTTTAGAATGAATAGAATACTAAGACAACTGCAGAGATTCTATTCTTTAAAGTCATTTACTTATTCAGGCAAAACGAATACTTGTTTGCATACTTGCAGCTTGTCAGTAGCTACACGTCGGTGATGCAGAGGTAGAATGTTCGCCAGCTACGCACATGGTTCATGGCTCAATTCCCGGTCGATACACTCCTAAACCTCACTTGGTTGGTAGCAAGCCTGAGAAAGAGGAAAGGTTTGGCGTTAGACTGGCGACCCCTCCCCCTCCACAAAAACAATACAATAGCTTGAATCCCTATATTCCACTCGGAAGGCAAAGGAATGAAAAAAAAACAACTGTTAACTATGAAAATTAAAAGGATACTAAACAGCCATAGCATTTCACCTGAGCGACAAATCTCCAAACTATCTACATTACCAATAGAAGCAGATCGATGGCCGACTACGACAAAATGGTAAATATTCAACTAATTAACAACTCTGTTTTATCGTATTTAATTATCTCCAGGTAACAACAAACAAAGATATGTACACTTAACTATACATCAGATAGCTGCATTAGAAAAGAACAAATGTGCAATCGGAAAATAAGTAGTGTCTATGTATAAAACAAAACTAATACACTTCTAAAAAGAGAAATATATTTTCCAAAAATATTAAACATCTGTTGCAGCATACAGCAAATAAGCAATTTTTCTAAATGAAAAGAATTAATTAAATAAAACTAAAATAGGAATATAGCAAAAGAGGAGACAAGAGGATAAGAGTACAGGTTTATGTATATATACATATGAAAGAGACAGTGTTTATTTACATTTTATGAATAGAAATTGCTTTGTATCAGTCGTAAATCTAGAGGTGGTGGTTGGACTGTTTTTGCAACTACTGCTGTTGCTGTTGATGATGATGATGTAATCGCCGTCGGCGTCATCATTTTTGTTGTTGTTACTGTTACTATATTAGATGGGATGAAATAATTATTACACGATGAAATGAACACATCTGACATACTGCATTCACTATTAATAACTGTTTCATCATATGATGATGAGTTATGAGTGATATTCACTTCACCGGGACGATAATCTGTAGAAATACTATTTTCAGGATACATTATAACTTCTGGGAATTCTACAGACATATCACCTTCAACAACACAATCATCATTATCATTATTAGTAAGTAATAGGTCAGTAAAACTAAATCCTGGTTCAGGATCCCATATTGTATGTGTTGTGAAGAATGAATTATCAGCACAATCATTTGTTGAATCAAAAAACATTGTACACTGATGAGGTGCGCTCAAGTCAATTGGATTCATAGTAATTATATCAACAGAAGGATCTGCGGATAAGTCAACTGCTTTTGATGTTCCTGTCAGTGTAAAGTATTGTGTATCGGTGAGATCAAGACCAGAATTAGAATAGAATAAACGTTTAGATATTGATCCATTGTTAACAATTTGATTAGTTTGTGTAACATACTGTGGTACCACCATACTAGATAGATTTGATGTAGACAACGGGAGAGATGAAGCATCCACTCTTTCCATTACTGTTGATGGTATAGAAGAATGAGTCTAGAAAAAAAAGGAATCAGAAAAAGTTATAAAGTGATCAGTATAGGACTATACCAAGAATTAACAGTTTCATAGAAAATAACATGGAAACAAACTGTACCTAGATTTTCTTTGTACATACCTGAATTTCTCATAACGTGACATTTAATCATCGCTAATAACTACAAGTATCACAATAACAAAAGAGCAAAAGGCTCGAAGTATTTTTAAGTATTGTTTTATGCTATTTCAATACTCTTTAACTGGATCCACCAAGAAGCCCATGAATTTAGGGTAAACGACCTTCAAGCTTCGAAGTGATGAAGATTCCTGGCTAACAGTAACAAAAACAGTCGGCATAAATGGGGGAAATCTGAAAGAAGCAACCTCCTTTACCTATCTACCTGGGAAGCATCATTTCAACTACAGGCGGAAGGAATTGATGAGGATATCAAAGCGAGGATTGGGAAAGCAAGGCAAGCTTTAATTACTCTCAAGTCTGTGTGGAGATCAACAGCACTCAGCATGAAAAATGAGGTCCGGATTTTCAACTCCAATGTGAAGTCAGTGCTACTTACTATACGGATCAGAGACTTGGCGCCGCACTGCATCACGAAGGCCACTTCGAACAAACTACAGACCTTCATCAACAGCTCTCTTTGATCAATACTAGTCAAGATCAGATGGCCGGCCAGAAAAGATCAGCAACAGGGATCTCTGCGAACGAACGAACCAACCCAGCAGGAACCAATTGTGCAACAAATATGCAGGAAGAAATGGAGGTGGATTGGCCATACTCTGAGAAAACTATCAAGTGAGTGACATCACACTCCAGGCCATCGCTCGAGTGGAACCCGAATGGGAAGTGGCGAGTTGGTCGTCAGTGCGAGAGTGACATGGAGCAGGCGGTGGGAAGAGGAGATGAAAGCATGTGGGCAGACGTGGAGCCAGGTGAAAACGTTTGCGGAGAACCGAATGCAACGGATACGTGCGGCTGAAGCCCTGTGACGACGTTGATATTCACCGACTAAGTTCAAATCCATTAGAGCTTACTACAGACGATTCTTACCTTTTGAAAACATATCATAGTTATAACCTTGAATTCCTTTAAACAATTTATATGAATACTAACCGTCAAAGCATAATTCACCGATAAAAAGAAATTAGTTAAATATTTCCATCCATATGGAATAGAAATAAAATACACCTCTATCAAAGCTGTTGTACACAAAATAATAATAACAATAGAAAAAGCACTATACCTTAAACTTAAATGTAGGGATTAAGTTTCCAGACAATTGAGAAATCATAATGAGAAATTATTCAATAAAATTGGTAACTGTTAAAGAATAACAATCGAAAGGAACTGATCTGGAAAAATTAATCAAATCATTCCTACCTTAACAAACAGACTATTCCTCATGACTTAACTTGCAATTCTATGCTAATTAATTTCTAATTAATGTTAGGTTTACGATTGGTTTGAGATTAGGATAAAGGTGTGGTTAAGGTCAGGTTTAGGAGTGGTATTATGTAGGGGTTAGGCTAAAATGAGGATTAGACTTAAGTGATTGTTTAAGGTTAGAAAAGAGTTCAGGAATTATTATAATGTCTAGTGGTCATTTTCTAAAACCTATATTCTTATAGCGTTTTAAAGATTAATACAGTAATTAAATTTAATTTAATTCACTTGTTTGTCTTAAATATATTTTTTCTAATCAACATTGTCTTTTAATCATGCTGTTATTCTGATTGATTTCTCAAGTTTATTTGACAGAAAATCTGTTGTTTTTCCGATCCTTTGCGTTTAGAGTGGAATATAGAGCTTCAAACTTTAGGTTTGAAGTCTCAGTAGTGGTAGTGTTGTGTTATACTGGGTGGGGTTGCTAGCCTTACACGTCCAACTTTCCCTCTTTACCGATCATACCACCGGCAAGGCGCCTTTTATGAAGAATGCGTCAACTGCGAATCGAACAGGGACCACTTGCATGGTTGGCGAATACTCTATCACTGAATCACTAACATTTGTTTCAGTCGCTATAAAATATACAAACACTTAGGTATGATATTTATAGATAAAAAGCTAAAAGTGATAAAAGAAACAATAAATCATTGGCTAGTGATTTAACATTTCAGAAATATTTGTACTTTGTACATACTTTGCCTGAGTAAACTTGTAAGCACAATGCTGAATTGCATAGATCTACAGCAGCCTCATTGTCATATTCACTCTTTAACGTTGTTGTTGTTGATACTTCCCCTGCGGCTTCCGCTGCTGCTACTGGAGTCATCGATGGCGTCGATGTGACTGGTATCAAAGGCAGCAGAGAGTCTGTTAATGCAACAGTATAATGAGGATGAAAAGATGATCCAGGTGCCAAAGGATATCCTTGAGAATCATTAGAATTTGTAATCATAATATTTTTGATAGGCGTATCTGAAGCCATTGTAGTTATTACAACATTATAATATGATGATGGAGTAATAGACTTCGCATAAATTGGATCAACTTCAACAAATGAGGTAGTCTCTAAAGTCGAAGCATTTTCAGAAGATGACTGTAATGCATCCACCACTGGATTAGTATCAACAGTTGAGGTTTCTAGCACAAGACTTATAGGTTCATCACACTGAGGGATAGGCTAAATCGGGAAAAGAAAACAATTTGATAATTTTCTCTTGAACTGTAATCTCAAATAAGACAGATGAATTCCAACTTTTGTAATATTGACAAAATGTTGTAATGACATGCACCAAAAAGTAGAAGGTATAAGCACAACATGATGCATTTACACATGTAAAGTTCATAGTTAGATACAGAGAAAAATTTTTTGGTCTGTAGACCAATGGTATTTGACTACAAAAATCACGAATAACTTTAGATAAGCCTATGATTACAAACTCAGTTGCTCTTGCATATTACCAATAAACTCAAAATATAAGTAAATATTAGTGAGAGGACATTTAACACTACTTTCTGATATATATTATGATAACATGGAGGATTTCATCATGAGCTGACATAAGTTAGAGAACCATTGGAAAACTTGGGAGTACTGGACAGCTGTTTCGTCCTAGTTTGAAACTCCAGCAGTACGCGCCCACCGGCGTTCGAACCCAGGACCTTCTGGTTACAAGGTGAGCTAGCTCGTTGACCATTAAGCCACTAGGATCCGATCCAATGGTCCTTGAATTCTAACTTCTGCCAATTCACGACATAGCGCGACCATTTCGCAATGTCCGGTACTCCCAGGTTTTCCAGTGGTTCTCTAACTGATGTCAGCTCATGATGAAATCCTCCATGCAATCAAACAAAAATCCCTACAAAAGCAATACTTGAATATTATGATAAATTGAAGTTAGATTAGTAAGTGAATAATTAAGTAAAAGCCTACACATGTCAGTAAAATCAAGAGAAATCTAATACTAGTCAAACTTAAACTCAATTCATTTTTTAATTGAATTTTAGATTTTCCCGTCGATTGATTGGACCGAAGTGTTCGGTCTCAGGTTGACATGTCGGTTTCTTGAGCAGATGCTTCAACGATGTCTGGGCATTTAATTAATATTCAATTGGTGGATGGTGATTAGCAGTAGAATCCACGGTGCGCATTTCGTCCTGTATTTGGGACTCGTCATCTGGGCACTGGGTTCGAGCCTTGGTGGGAACATCATTACTCACAGAGAAATGCAGGTACATCCAGAGGACGAGTCCCAAGTGGGACGAAATGCACATCCTGGATTCCACTGCTAGTCACCATCCACCAATTCAATTCATTTTAATTGAATTTTGTAATCCCGTTTGATTGATTGATTCGGAACGAAATGTTTGGTCTCTGTTGAAATGTTGGCTCCTATCAAAGATGCTTCGACGATGTCTGAGGATTAAAATTTTCGCTACTTGGTGGATCTTGACTGGCAGCAAAGTTCAAGATGCATATTTGGTCCCACTTGACATTCGTTAACTGAATGTAGCTGCAATTCCCAATAAGTGATGGTGTCCTCACTGGGACTCGAACGCAACACCTATTGTTTCTCAAACGCAAAAGCGCTATCCACTAGGCTACTTGAGCCATGAGAACTATCTCCTATGCAGCGACTATTAGCTGTTATGATTATCGTGCTGGGTTCGAGTCTCAGCAAAAATGCTATCCACTCAGTAAGGATTGCAGGCACACTCAGATGACGAGTTCCTATATAGGACGAAATGCGCATTCTGGATTTCAAAGCTACATTCCATCCACTAAAAATTATCATGGATACACAGAAAAAAACATGGCGTAAGCCATTGAATGAGCTTTTAATGCAGTTTTTGAATATATTATGTTTGTTTCTAAAATGTTCACACCTATCTGAGACGCCGTTTAGGAAGTTCCCTACTTCAAAGAAAGTGTGATGTATCAAGGTTATATAATCCACACGTATTACATAACATATCAGAGTATTGTGATATATATTCATGAAATTCCAAACATCACTTTGAAACATACAACTCATTGGATACATTTCTTTAAATGAACCAAAACTAAATGTTTGTGGTGTAAATACAATGTATGTAGTTTTGATGAGGATTTCATCTTCAGTATTTTAACGCCACCCAAATACAGTTGTCACAAAGGGCAAATAATGGATTGGAGGATTTTATCATGAGCTGACATCAGTTAGAGAACCATTGGAAAACCTGGGAGTACTGGACAGCTGTTTCATCCTAGTTTGAAACTCCAGCAGTACGCACACACCGGGGTTATCTACAAATACGTTTTCTTCACTTATGCATAGCCTAAGCTTCAGCTATACATGAACAGAAACCTAAATTATGTGTTCAAAAACGTTTTGTCAAACCCCTTTCTTTACCTTGGTCATAGTAATGTTCTTTCTAGTTTTTATTTTATTTTATTTTACCACTTGAATTCATTCCACTTCACTTCACATCTTTATTCTTATCGTAATCGTACTCCTAATTTTTAAAAAAATTTTTGATATCAATTCACTTATAAAACAATCTTTAATAATTCTGTAATTCATCCACTTCAACTCTACCCCTTATACCATTTTAATTATCATTATTCTTATCATATATACATGTATATTGACTGAGCAATTATTTAGTGCCACTTAATAACTTTTTCTGTAATATAGCTAAACATCTAGTCGAGATGAACCATGAGATTGGCGTTAACTCAGCCTTTTAGGTCATCCATAAAAATGGTCAAGGGCGCTTATTGAAATACTCTGAGACTATATTATTATAATATTATTATTGTTCCCTTGGGTTCCTAGTGGAACATAGGGCTTCAACTGCACGTCTCCACTTGCTTCTGTCTTGTGCTGTACTTTTCACTTGCATCCATGTTAATCCATACTGTTTCAGTTCCTCATTACACGATCTGAGACTATAGCTATTCATAAACTTAAGCCCTCCCCCTGCGTATTCAAAACAGTTTATTATTACTCTTAACCTACCTTGGTAATCCTTATTTGATTGGATTACCAAGTGTTGTGTTGATCATTCCTAAATCCTTTTTTTTCTCACTTTGTTTAATTTAATTGCCTTTAATTTTTTCATATTTGTATCGCCCTGACAAGTAAATGTGTGATCAGATTGTTCAAAATGTATAGCACAAATACATCACATTTTTCAGATAATCTCCGTCGTCTAATAACACTATCCAAAAATAGTAGCACAATTTCTCAATTCAGTGTCTGAACACCGAACATTTGATTATATATATATATATATATATATGCTGTATGGAAAAGGAAGACACAAAGATATAGCTTCTATCGCACATAACATTACACAGACGAAAAAAAACAAAACAATGAATATGGCTTTCTTTTTGACCAATAGAATTTCACACTTACAGGCGTTATCGGCTTTGTTGAAATTTCACCAACAGGATCATTGTCTTTTGTTTGTTTTTCATTTTTGAGGTCAGCATGAAAAGAACGCATATGTTTACGAAGTGAACTTGGATCAGTATAAGCCCTATGATCATCACAGATTTGGCATACATATGGTCTTGGACGAGATTGATTAATCTTGTCTTCAATTTGTAAAGCGGATAAACCAGAAGAACTCCAATCATTATAAACACTGTCACGTGAAGACTGTTCAACTTGTGCAGCGTTAGTTTCTTTAAGACGATGCTTTTTCATGCATTGAGATCTTTCTGAGGTTCGAGAGTAGGCTCGATGACAAATTTGACAGGTATATGGTTTTAAACCTAAACATTTGGAATGAATTATCAGGTCTACATTGTAAATTGTATAACACTTAAAATACAATGAGAAGAAACAAATCAAGCATTTTTTTTCAGGATAGTTAGTAATGATACGGTAAGCGTCGGTGGTCCAGAGGTAGAATGCACATCAACCACAAATATGGTCTGGGGTTCGATCTCCGGTCGACGCACACCTGAGCCTCACTAAGCCGGTAATAAATCCTGTAAAGAGGGAAAGTTGGACTTGTGACTAGCCACGCCACTCCATGGTAATAAAACCATTGCTATTGAAACTCCAAAGCCCAAGCTTGAAGCCTTACGTTCCACTCGGAATGCAAAGGAATAGATAATAAGAATATACTAAGTATTGGTATAACCGTCGTCTACCAAACTAATCCCTCATTTTAAGAGATGCAAAATTGTCTGCAGTTAGACTTAGAGCAGATATCCAGTGATTTAAACTAACCTTTTAGGAGGATTATCGAGATAAGAAACAACTTTTTGTACACTCCAAGTGCCAGAGGACTGACGCCTATGACAACACAGGATAAAATAATTTATTGATCTCATCTAATAGGTGGGTCAATGGGAAATAATATCAGTGCACTTGAACAAAAAGGAATGATGTGAATTATGTGTAGGAAAAGATCATCAACGACAACACTTTTCGGCACCATATCATGATTTACTTTACCCTATACGATTATTAACCGTAGCTGATAGTTAATAATATACAATAAATGGACAATACGTACATAAGTGCGCTTCTACATGGCTCATTTCAATAGCCTGCTGTTACCTTCGCTCGATACTGAAGATCGGATGGCCAGTCAGAAAGGATAAGCAACAGGGAACTCTCACAACATACCCACCAAGAACCGATTGCCCAATAAATATGCAGGAGGAAATGTAGATGGATTGGACATGCGCTGAGGTGACCTTCAAGTAACATCACATACCAGGCCCTCAGATGGAACTTGAATGGGAAATGACAAGTTAGACGTCCGAGGGTGGCATTGAGGTGATAGTATGATGAAGAGGAAATAAAAGCCTATGGGCAGTTTTGGAGTCAGTTTTAAAAATAAAAAAGGCTGCAGAGAACAGACGGAAGTGGCAATGTGCTGACTAAAGCCCTATGGTCCAACAGAAATCCAAAGAACGAATAATAATAAAATGCGAACAAGTGTATAATATACTAACATACCTAAATGCATATTCATATGTCTTCTTAAATTTTCTTTTGAACTGAAACTTTTTCCACACTGTGAACATGATAATGATAGATGATTTTTGTGCAAAAGTGAATGATGTTTTAAATGAGTTCTGAAAATAAGATAATAAGCTAATGTAATTAGGAAGGGGATTTTATTCAAATATTAGTTATTAAAAGATCCTATGATAAAAACTCATTTGATACAGGTGCATAGAATGAAGTTAGTAAACAAAGACATGTTAATACAAGTGGTTATGAGGCATTACATCTGTGTTGGGGTTAATAATGCTCCCTATATTCACAATGGATCACAATTCGAATCCGAGAGCCAATCTTCGCAAGTTAAGGTACTAGGATCAATGAGTCAAACCACAATAACAATGTACTGAAATAATCAGTAAATAGACAATATAACTCATCATGTTAAACAAAACCGAATGACTATACCTAAAGAGTGATCAATGCTCTAATTGTATGTTCATGAATAATTCCTATCGAAGCAATTACGAAAAAAGCAAGTAGTTCAACAAAGAAGATATTTTTCATGATATCACTGTATCATCGAAAGACAACTCACAAAAGCCTGTAATTATCTGACGAAGCATTGTCAAGAACAATAGCTGAGGTGTAGCAAAGGTCTGACAATAACCAGCGGTGACAACGGTTTAGTTCTTATGCATCAAAAAGCCAATACGGAACATACTATCAAAGAATAAGTTTTCGCAATTTCCCAAGGGAGGAGATGAAACAGGCAATATTGAGGAACAGCTTACGGATGCTTTGAGAAGAAAGAAATTCAGTCAGTTAATTAATCATGATATTTATAGAGGCATTCGATCAACAGACTGAATAATACCAAGGCTTTATACTTTGTCAAGGATTCATAAACCTGGTCTCCCATTTCATCCAATTCTGGATATGTCCAGATCCCCCAAACATTCAATTACAAAGTAGTTAGCTGATATTCTAGAACCCGTAAGGAAATAGATGTGCATCTACTCGATTTGTAACACTTTTCATTTCGTCTACTGCATACAAGATATGAATATCTCTACCAAAAGTATCCTATCTCCCGACATCGAATCACTCATCACCAATGTCCAGCTTACGGAAACCGTCTGCTCCATATGTAAATGTATAGATGATAACAAGCTGAAAATCCGAACACCGACAGCATATTCCATGGAACTATATTGTTGAAGTGTACCCTTCACCTGCAATTCCAATTCAGAGATATACTTTACAAACAAACGGTTAGGATCGTAATGGGAACTCCCTTGGATCGCTTGCTAGCAGACTATTTTATATCAAGCATCGAAAATGGTCCATTTAAATCAACTGTTGATAATTTTCAACTGTAAATCTTCATCTAAAATGAATATTCACCAAGATCTGTTGAAAAGAACATCACACCGAAAGTTTAGAGATTTGAGACATCGTTTGTTCTAAAAAAGAACCTTAACATGAACTTTGATTTCAAGGTTGACCGGAACTATGATATCCATTAACAGTGGAATGTCAACATATTTGGAAAGAACATTTTACATGACAAATTCTATGTTGGCAAAGAGAATCAATCACTGAATGGTTAGAATTATTTTTCAAAGGTAAACCTGATACTAAAGAAGTGGAAATACTTATCATTACTCTAAAAACTGTGTAGACATTTGATCTTGAAATATATGCCCTACATAAAAATTATATCTAATAGAGTTAATTAATCACTGGCTAACTAGATTATGCCCAAATTTAAAAAAATTCCTTATCACTGTCTATCAAAAGTACACTACTAGATATAAAACATACTGAAACTATTGATTTTCGATAATGAGAAATATGTAGCGACAATTATATGGAACAATGTAACATTGGTCCTTTCAACTTTTTGCACTGCTCCGTGTACTTAGACAACACATAAAGGTATTACATACCAAAATATGGAGAGATGAAAAGTCACAGTTATCACAACAACTTGAATAAAGTATCATCAGTTTGTTCAATTAAAAAAGTTGACAAATTTGTTACACAACAGAATATATACAAAACTTTTGATTTCAACAGTATTGTTTAGTTAGTAAGATTCATAAAAGATTATATATTTAAGTGATGACTTTTACAAGAATGTATAAGAAAGTAACCCGGCAAAACTTTTGATATCAGCATAGGTATAGTAAATCATGAATTCCATAAAAGTAGTAATGAAAAGTAGAGATTGACTGACTAGATTTTATGTGATTAATTATTTTAAATGTATTTAAACACTTATTTCATCAGATAATAAATTTACATCAGTTGTTTAGACGCCACGATCACAACTTAATTTTCTGACTTATCACTCATTACTGAATCGCATTTTTTTCTATTCCTTTACGTTCCCAGTTGAACATAGGGCTTCAAGCTAGAGCTTTGAAGTTTCAATATCAATGATTTTATTTTTACGGGGTAGGGTTGCTAGCCTCATGCCCAACCTTCCCGCATTACCGGTGTCATTTACCAGCCTAGCAAGGTAAAGGAGTACGTCAGCTGGGGATCGAACCTCAGATTACATGCGTCGTCAGGTGGGGTGGGGGGCTGGGTCACATATCCTACCTAAAATAATACTAAATTGAAAACAAATGTCATTTGGCTTTTTAGATGTAGTACCTCCGGTTAATTATTTATTCCTAGAATTCATTTATTGTCTAGAATGTGATTACACTTTCAATGTTTGACGATATACCAGATAGACAGTTTGACTAACATAGAACCTAGTGAAAAAATTTATCAGTTTAAGTTGGTACTTTCTAAAACGTCAAACAGTGAAAACACAAAATATAACACAGCTGCAATCGACAAACAAGGATAATGAGGAGAGAGAGGACAATGAAATACAGATTGCTGATAATGATCAAACTCTTGACAGTAAAAAAGAGTGAACATATATCTGTGACTCTGAGAATTACTAGCTCCTGAATTTTAATATCTGGTAGCATCTCAACAGGAA